TCACTCTCAGGCATCGGTGCTCCCACCTAATCCCCAGCTCAGTCACCTCCATATCTGCCATGTTGGAGCTGGGTTAGGAGAATCCAGGAAGGGAACGTTTCTAGAAGAGCAATCTGGTGAACACTGACTAGCACTGCCAAATAGCCAGAACAGAAAAGGGCTGACTCGAATGCCCTGGACTCAGGCCCCAGGGGCACCGGGGCGGGCAGCTGCGTGTGTGAGGCAGTGGTCACAGAGGCTGGGCTTCTCAGGGTGAGAAATGTGTGGGCAGGGAGATAGAACGGAGGTGACTAATTCAGAAACTGAGTTCAAAGAGAAGTGAAGTGTGGTGGGTGGCTGAAGGGGGAAAATTTTTGTTTAGATTATTTTTTTCAAGATGAGAAGGACTAGAGCGTGTCTGAATGTTGGGGAAGAATCCTCCAAGAGGGAGACACGCAGTTATGGGGAGTCAGTGTCTTAACCAAGTGGGGCCATGGAGAGTTGAGGGTCTGGGGACAGTTTGTGGCCAGTGACTGGGAGCTGAGAGGGTGTCAGAGGTGGTTGGCATGCTAGAGGGACACAGTTTGCTCATTGAGAATCTTGGAGTGAAAACTTTACTTTTTAATTCCTGTCTTTATTCTTAGTCATATTTACCAATTTGACTACATTTAGCAGTAGCCTGCTCTGTGCGGGAGACGGTGCTGGGGTGACCAGTGCAGTAGGGGGGCGTTGGTGTGACTGTGTGTTGGGGTTGAGGAGTGGGGGCAGTGACCAGATTGTGGAGGGTCTTGGATGCTGATGGGAGGACTTTGGATTGTACCCCAAGGAAATGAGGCATCTCAGAAGTGCCCTAGAAAGTGCATCCCCAGGCTACTCCAAAGACACCCCTCCTCCACCATGACAGACAATGCGCCTCAGAGCTTTCGAGAACCTTCCATCTCAGGCTAATAGACTCTCTTTTCAGGAAGACCATTCTAATATTGGTTATTAACTCATCGGGGTAGTGATCACAGGAAGCCACAGAATCTGTGATTTTGATTGCTTCCTCATTTCTGTTCAGAATTAAGATCTTTCCTGGTTTAACTCAGACAATAAAAGGAATACACCCACTTTTTCTTTACAACCACAGCTGTGATAGAGTAAATCTATAAATTCATTATAATTTAATAGTAAATATTTGGGATCATCCTCCAATTTCCTTTAGTTTGAGAAGGAAGTGATTCTAACAGCGGCTGGAAAGACACAAGCATGGGAAACAAGGTTTTCCTGAGCAAACGTGAGACCTTCAACGTATCCTAAGTGAAGTCATTTTTAAATTACCTGCCACCTAATGAAAGGATTCTTCCCCTATTTTGTGTCTCATTTGTCCCACAAGTGATAGTCATTATCTCTCATTTGCAAGCACCCTGCTCTCAGGAATTATGTCAGCAAACGTGTTTCTACCCAGTGACACCCTCACACAGGAGCAGTTGATTGGACCAGGGTGTGGGCATGTGACCCAAGATATCCAATCAGCGCCTGGCACCCCAAGTCTTTGGCTCTGGATCTTTGGAGACTTGGAGAGCTGGTGGAGAGCAGAGATGTCACACCTCAGCCCTGTGTGGCATCCAGAGGCTGGCGGCCACTTAGGTCATATGTACTTAACGGAAGTCAGTCTGCTGGGAGAAGAATAGAGCAATGTATAGAGAGAAGAGAGGGAGAATGAATGGATTAGAGGGGGAAAGGAGGCAAGAGCAACATCTTGCTAACTTGTCAATCCCACAACCCAGCAATACCTCCTTCCTGAGATTTCATGGTCCACCCTTACACGAACCCTTTGCTTACCACTCGAGGCCATTTTTATTCTCGGCCATCGAGCACTCCCTGAGGGAGTATTGCTTTCCTAAGTTGGACAAAGAATTTTTTTTTTTGTATCTGTGTTAAATTGATTGGCTTCCACTTGTATATTAATTTTATTTTGCTTTTATCACGAACACTTATGTGCTTATCTTTCCTTATGATTTAAAAAAATTCGTGCACTGGAAATTTAGATTTCAAACCCTCTCTCCATTCATGACAGGGTGGTGTGGTGCTTTCATGCAGTTTTACCAAGAATTGGGACACGGGATGGTTGGGAAAACATTTTCCTTTTTGTTTATTTTTACTTTATTTTTTTTTAAGATTTATTTATTTTTGCATATAAGAGCTGGGGTGCAGGCCAGAGGTGCAGGTGGGAAGAAACAGAGTGGGAAGCAGAACAGGCAGATCCACTGAAATACACTGCTGAGGGGAGCAGCGGGCGAGACAGGAGAGGTCTGCTGCGCCTTGTGGGTCAGCTTCCTGGCTGGGGATAGAATTTGTACTGCAGTGGCTGCGGAGAGCTTCACAGTGCTGAAACTAAACACCTTGCGCCACCAGGGAGACCACATTTTCCTTTTTAGAATCACTTCTAATCTCCAGTTGCAAAATAGTCACACGTGGTGGCGGTGGTTGTAAGGCATTCCCAACATGAGCGACGTTACAGAAACACGGCTGAGCCCATCAGCAGAGCTGTTGTAGAATTATGTGTCCTGATGGAGACCTGTCTGAGCAGAGAGCAAGGCCGGGCCATCCCACCCATAGGCCTTCCCGCACCCCAGCCTCCTGAACTCTCCAAGGCTGGTGACGGGAAGAGGTCAAAGCGGGAGAGTTAGTTGAAACTCCTCAGTTAAAAGCTGGAGTTGATGGCTTGGCCAGTGGTCATATTCGAGGTACTCGAAAGCTCGCAGGGCGTGCCCTACTTCCCGAGACCCCAGCGCAGACAAGTGCTTGTCAGAGGGGAGCCCCGGAGCCAGGCGCCAACCACTCAGGGCGGAATTCAGGTTTTACTGGAGATGATGGTCAGAAAATAAATATAACTCAAGCAAGAGAAAAGGGAACACACTTGATTAAACAGCATGCACTAATTTTTTAAAATCTTGCACCTTCTTTTTAGCCTTAAGAAAACTCTAATCCACGGGTACATACTTTCCTATAAGGTAAGATAGTAAATATTCTAGCTCTCTGCTGCAAATTATTGGGTTTTGGCTTATGTTTGTTTGTTCATAAGCCTCTAAATATGTAGAAACCACGCTGAGCTCAAGGCCCTCGTGAAGCAGGCTGCGGGCCTCAGAGCTCCCGCTCAGGTGTTCCCAGTGGCGTTTAAGGGTTTGCGGGGATAGACAGCTCGCTCTTTGCCAATGACACTCATGTGGCAGCTGGACTCTTCTAGAATTTTTTGTCATATTGAGCCAACTTTTCTTCTCCTTTAATCCCCACTGGTATTTACTTCCGACCTCAAGAGTTAGCAACTCCCTGCTTTCTCAGAGACTTAGAAATAATAGACCAAGTCTTCTCTCTTTAGGGAAACAGTCCTGCTAATTTCATCCTAATTCAACATGAAATGCTTTTCAGACCCTTTACTATCTCGAAGCCCCCCCTGGGCTTCTCCCTGCCAGTGCCATTCCTAAGACACGGTCTTGGGAACTAGCAGAGTGCTGGGGTTTGATGTGACGTGCGGACTTGGGACGATGACATAACCTCTGCAGGCAGAGTGCCGCTGGTGATGCCACTCTGCTTCGGGTCAGAGTTTTTGTTCTAAGGCTGCTTAGCATCTGAGACTTGCAGTAATTGCCATCCAAAATTGCAAATATTTATTTTTAATAAAAGTTTAGGTTTCTATAATCAAATACAGTCAAATGTTCCAGGCAAGGCTGGACCATCATTGCATGAGTGAGTGCCAGCAAATTCTTTATATTTCTGTGAAGTGAGCGTAAAATCCTTTGGAGGGAAACATGCCCTTTAGTAAATGAAACAAACATAGAGCCCCTCAGGGGTGAGGCAGGAACACACCCTGGATGCCCAGAAAGTGGGGATCGAAAAGGAGAGGCTGCCTGCGTCTCTTTGTTATGCACGCTCCCCCTCTCCCTAAAGAGGCTCCACCGTGTAGAATGACTCTTCTGTTGGCCACACTGATGAACTATTTACCCCAAGGAAGTGCCTCCCCCATCAGGGCACTTTGGGGCACCTTTCTCTGCTTCCCAGTAGCAGGCTTGCTGAGGCTGGCAACCAGACAAATTTGGAGGCACGGGGAGAAATAAAGCGAGTTGTGGGTTTATTAGGAAAATGCACTAATATGTAAGGATCTTTGGGGTGACACTGAGAAGCACGTTTGGATGTTACATAGCGTGAAAAGGAAAGTGTAGCAAGGACCTTCCTTGCTAAACCCCCCTTTCATGCACAAGAGCCCTGAGTGCTGCTTCAAGGTCCCTGTCCTGCTGTGCAAACTAAAAAGTGAGTCACCTATAAACGGGGCAACTCCTCTGTCTCCCTAAGGAATTTTAATATTTTTCCCAGGCTGAGAGTGCACGCATTTTCCTGACTGTTTTTACTGCAGAAAGGGGATCATGGGATTTGAGGAATCCTCAGCTGTCCCGGATGTCGGCAACTGCCGGGAGTTACTTGTTTCCTTATAACTTTTACCTTCCAACCTAGAAGCCACAGGAGGTTCGCCCCCACAGCACCAGCCCTGGAGTAATGGACTCCAGAAGCTGGACCACATTCTGCCCTGGAATCCCGTACAGGGTGGTCAGCCCGCAGGCCCCAGAAGGCCCGGCCTCCAGCCCATCCCCACCCCTGCTTCTCACTTGCTGAAACCTTTAGGAAAGAAGACAGACCCTCATTCTACAGAGCGCCCGAGGACACCAGAGCCAAGCACAAGGAGAGAACATCACGTTTTAAAAATAATTAGATGAAGTGTCTTTAAATAACCCCTCTCCTGCTCAGTCAAGAGGGGCGGGCTGCTGGAAGAGACTGGCAGGAAGGGCAAAGGAGTCTTTTAAAATTCAATGTTTAAATCGTTTGGCACCTAAACCCTTAATTAACCTGGAAACACATTGGGTATGTCCCCACAGGGGCAGCTGGAGCCTTTTGCACAGGGCGCTGCAGATGGTCTCCCGAGGTGGGGGCTCAGCTCTCACCCCACTGCTGCCAGCACTGCATCCCGGGTCACAGGGAGAACACGCCTCCCACTGCAGTCCATGACTCTGGGCACCCCCACAAGATGCTCATAAACATCACCCTCAGTCCAAAAAGTCCCATGCACATTGATCTAGTGAACAAGTACAAACTGAGCAATTTTAATCAATGTTCTTGCGGACAAGTGTGGATGTGTATATGCATATATACATATATATATATCAAAATTGAGAATTTACAATTGGATCTGATACATTTGGTCTAGGCGTGGGCAAGTCCATGGACGGGGTAAGTCTTAAGTAGGATACATTTCCTTTGGTGGTGCTGTGACTAATGTAGTTCTGCTGCATAGACGGAACCCTGAAGGTAAGTTCAGCTATTCTGGAGTCCTATGAGAAGAAAGCGTGTAGCATTCCATGAAGCCAGCACAGCACGTTTGTGCTGTTCCCTGGAGATACCAAAGAGTGTGAATTTTGTGCCTAAAAAGGGTGAAAATCGCACTGAATCAGAGGCACCTCCTGTGTGCTCTTGCTGCCTGTGGGAGGTGTCGCCTAAAGCAAACAAAAGAAGTGAAGTTAACAGCAACTAACAAGGAATCTGTGTGAAGTCCAGGCCAGGAAGTAGGACTGAGTTCCAGACAGAAGATGCCCGAAAAGTCCAATGTCCATCATGTGGCTGACAGGGGGGCTGGGGACACAGTCTTTCTTTTCCTGCTCACACCCCCTAGTGCAAGTTAGTCGAGGGACCGGGCAGAGCGAACGTTCACTTGATCCTTCTGTGGTTACCACTTCCCGGGAATGGAGACCCCACACTCGTACCAGCCCACATAGTAGTAGGGGGTTCCAAAGCCAATGCTGCCGAAGCTGACAGGCTCCTGGCGGTACTGGCGGTAATAGCCTGGAGGGATAAAAGAAGGAGAGGAAAAAAAATGCGTACATGATACTGTGGTTATGACAGGAAGTATACTTGGTTTTGTTCCCACCTCCTGGCACAGAACTCTTAAAATCCTTGGAATTTCCTAAGTGGTAAGAATGATAAAGATGTCTTGATAATCACATTAAGCTCCTTTAGCCACACCTGAGTTTATGGTAATGAGGTGACATTTGAAAAGCACCTAAGGATGGGGACTGGTCGCCAAAGTACCAACCACATGCCACATGATTTGGGGGACTGAGCTTTTAGTCCCACCCCCCCCCACCTCCAGAGTGGAGCAAGAGCTTGAATTCAATCACCAATGGCCAATGATTTCATCAATCATGCTTATGTAATGAGACTTCCTTAAGAATATGGTTTGGAAGGTGAACTATGGGTACCAATAGCTATTGGGTACCAATAATTCTGGAAGTGCTGGGAGACCAGTGGTCCAGACAGGAATGGAAACTCTGTGCCCCTTCCCGGTTACCTTGCCCTGTGCATCTCTTCCATCCATCTGGCTGCTCCTGAGTTACATATTTTTTATAGTGAACTGGCAATCTAGTAGGTAAAATGCCTCTGAGTTCTGTGAGTTGCTCTAGAAAATTAATTGAACCAGAGGAGGGGGTCTGGAGCCTCCAACCTGTAACTAATGGATCAGAAACACAAGTAATAACCTGGACCTGTAACTGGTACCTGAAAAGGGGTGGGGAGGGGAATGTTGTAGGACTGAGCCTTTCACCTGAGAGATCTGACACCAGGTCTGGGCAGAGAGTGTCAGAATTTAATTGCAGGACACTTAGGTGATGTTGGAGAATCACTTGGTGGTGGAAAAGCCCACATTCAAAATTGGTGCCAGAATAGTAGCCTCAGAAGTGCCCAAACCAAAAGGAGCAATTCTCATGCTTACCACCTCCATTCAGTTCTCTTCTCTCTATGCACAAGTAGAAGATTTTAGCCAATAGCTCTGGAGTGCTCACTGCAGAGCAGGCCCCGAGCGGGGGCAAGCGCAAGTTACCAGAGTCTCACGGGTCCTCACAGTGCTTTGTGGCCACCTAAGCTCAGTCCTCCAAGGTTTACTGTGCTGGACTCTGAGATCTATAGAGTAAATATCTCAAAGGAAAAACTACTTATCACCATCTCTCCCTTGAAGTAGAAATGTGATGGTCCAACCTCCTTACACTTGCAGTTGAACAACTGCTCCCCCTGCTTTGGGCCTGTTCACTGTAAATAAAAGGTTACCTGCCACTCTACCTGCAAAAGCATTGACTAACCAGCAGCCTCTGTTGGGAGCCAAATCTGGGACCAGTCATAGAAATGCTCTGAAGTATGAGTCATGCATAGAATAGTAACCCTGAGGCACCACAGAGCTTGAGACAATTAACAAGTGGGATGGGTTTTGTAGAATAGCATGATGGTTAATTGTGTGTGTCAGCTTGACTAGGCTATGATACCCAGGTACTTGGTCAAATAGTATTCAGGTGTTTCTGTGAAAGGATGATTTAGGTTAAATGAATGTTTATATCAGCAGACCTTGATTAAAACAGGGAACACTCCACAATATAGCTGGGCCTTTCCCATCAGTTGGTGGCCCTAATAAAAGAGGACTGACCCCCCAAAGAGGGAGGTTCTCTGCCATAGACTGACTTGGATGCTGCCTACAACAGCAGCCCTTGCCTGGGTCTCCAGCTGCTGGTCAACTTGCAAGTTGGACTTGGCAGCCTCTACAATCTAGTGAGTCAGGTCCTTAACATACATCAATTTCTCCTCCCACTTCCCTTTCTAATTGGTTCAGTTTCTCTGGAGAACCCTGAGTAATACACTTATTTTATACTGTTTTGTGTATTTTACTATATTTTATTTTATTTTATTAAAGATTTATTTATTTATGCATACAATAATTGGAGTACAGGCCAGAGGTATGGGGGGATAAGAGGATTCACCAGAGATGGAGTGGGGAACAGAACAGGCAGATTGACTGAAACACACTGCTGAGGGGAGCAGCAGGCGTGTCAGGGGAGGTCTGCTAAGCCATGTGGGTTGCTCCCTGGCCAGGGATCGAATTCATGCTGCAGTGGCTTTGGTCAGCTTCACAGGTTGCGTCTTAACCCCTTGAGCCACCAGGGAGGCCCCTATTTTACTATATTTTAATTCTTTGGAAATGGGTAGCTTGTATGCCACCTATGCTATTTTTCTCCAAACTAAGAAAATTGATAGACAGACCATCTCAGGTCATGAAAAGGTCAGATCACCAAGACAAGTACACAGCAGGAGAGTGTCAGACTTCACTCAGTTGTTCTACTTCTTTGTTGGTTTGGGGGCTGGATGAGTTGAAAACATATGACAGTTGTTAACCTTTGCTGTGAATATACTCGTTCTCACTCATAGTGTTGCCATGATCCAACAGTTGAGACATTTTCTCCTGCAGCATTTCATGGCTAATTTGCATTTATCTTTCTTTCTCTGTCATTGCCATTGCCCGACTGGGAGGGCCTCCAACCTTTGCGTTTCTAGGTAGACTTTATCACTTGACCCAGACTGTCTTTTCTGAAAACTCTCCCTGACAGCCTCTGAGTGGCCCTCTGACCTATGACTATAATCTGCACAATTTCCTGGCAATAGGACCATTGTACGATGTCACCCTTGTCATCATCTGCACTTTAAATAAAGTGGTTCACTCTTAGTAATCTCCCTCTGTACCCCCCACCTCCCAAATCCACATCCCATTTCAGCACATGGTGGGAATATTTTGTCAATTCCTTATTTTTATGATTCCAAATTCTGCCAATATCCATCTTCAAGTGGCAAAACAAGGCAAAACTACCATGAATTTCCCCCTATATTAGCCATCCACTCCCACCCCCAGTATAACACATCAGGCCTTTGTTGGCATTACCTGGAATGGTAGGGAGACCTTCTATGTAGGATTGAGGCCCTGTTCTTCCATCAAGATGTGAATCCACAAATTGGCAATGGTCTTCACCTCTCCCCCAGCTGTCACCAATGCTGTAGAATGTGTCTGAATAAAGAACATAACAGGCCAGCGACTGGTCAAAAGATGTCACAACTGGTTTTCACAAGTTTTGGAGACCATTTGAACTGGATGCATTACCTAATTCTATGTGCTGTACTTTCCATGTTTGAACAGCAGTGATAATGGCACCATCTTCATAAGTGTTGTAAGGATTCAGTGAGATCATGAGTGCTAAATACTGATGTGTTCAATAAATGGAATTTATTTATATTATAACAAATACAGGTTATACATAGTAGACCTTTATACTCCTTAGTTTAAAAAAGGAATAAACTACAATAGTCACAGAATATCATATAAAATATTTATGAAAGATGTGAAGATCTACAAGAATAGAAGGACCTGGTCTCAGACCCAACTAGCGGTGGGGTACGTGTCTGGCATGGGACACTGTCCGCGGTCCTGAATCGCAGCTGCACAGTAGGGCAAAGTTGCTCTCCCAACCCTGGGATACCAGAGATGGCTGTTCAGCTCTTTCAAGAATTGTAAAGCAGGGGAGGAAAAGGGTCGGTGGGAGGGAAAGGAAAAAAAGAGCAGGGAGAAGCAAGGAGACAGTGGTTGTTGGGAGAGGCATATATGCTGAGAAACTGCCAGAGTGGGGGCTGATAGGGAGATTTTTCTTTGGCGACATAGTCTTGAAATGATCAACACTAATGAAAACACTCTCCCCTCCCCCCCAAAAAAAAAACCTGACTTATGACAAAATATAGACCAGTTGAGGGATTTTTTTTAATGTGTGTACTAAAAAATTAACGGTTATGTAAATTTTGAAATAAAAATGAAATTTGTGTAGGAGGTGAGTCAAAACCATCTCTGTAGACAAAAGAGACAATAACAAAAACAAAGAGAAACCCCACCAACTGGGAGAACATTTTTGCACCCAACACTAATGATAAAGGACTGATCACAAAAATCTGCAAAGAGCTGATGAGACTCAGCAACAACAAAGAAAATAATTCAGTCAAAAAATGGGCAGAAGAGCTAAAAAGAAACTTCTCTGAAGAGGAAATACAAATGGCCAGCAGACATATGAAAAAATGTTCAACATCACTTGTAATCAGGGAAATGCAAATCAAAACTACCTTGAGATACCATCTCACACCAGTGAGAATGGCACATATTAAAAAAACTAGCAACAACAAATGTTGGCGAGGATGTGGAGAAAAAGGAACTCTTGTGCACTGTTGGTGGGAGTGCAAACTGGTCCAACCACTATGGAGAGCTGTGTGGAGATTTCTGGACCTACTAAACATAGAGCTTCCATATGATCCAGCAATTCCACTCCTAGGTATTTACCCAAAGGACACAGAAACATCAATTCCAAAGAGCACCTGCACTCCTATGTTTATAGCAGCACTGTTTACAATAGCTAAGCTTTGGAAACAACCCAAATGCCCAAAAATAGATGACTGGATCAAGAAGATGTGGTACATATATACCATGGAATATTACTCAGCATTCAAAAAAGATAAACACATGCAATTTGCAGCAACATGGATGGCACTGGAAGGGATCATGCTCAGCGAAATAAGCCAAAAAGAAAAAGAAAAATACCGGATGGTCTCACTCATAGCAGGAATCTAGAAAACTTAAATAAGGGACCAGGAAAATGAATATAAGAAAGTGAAAATCAAAATCAACAAAAAACTATGAACCAGAGACACTTTTTGGGGGGTGGGGGGCGGGAGGGGAAGGTAAAAAAAAAAAAAAAAAAAAACCATCTCTGTAGAAAGGCTATCTTGAAAATGTTAGTACTGCAAGTTAATTGTTATTCTTTGTTTTAATTCCCTACCAGGATAAAAGAATGTTTTTATTCAGAGACAGAACAAAGAGTACTTGATGCTATCGTTCACTATCTACATTTTTTTTTCTCTGTGAAGTTGTGGCGATGGTGGGGACTGGAAGGGGAACTTAGATTTCCAGCTTGTACTCATACAAATTATTACTGAGTTAATGGCAAAAAAAAAAAAAATGACTTTCGTGTTTCTGGATATCAGTGTAAGAACTAGCCCACAAAAGTGATGTATCTTCAAGCCAGTGAGACACAATGGGCCCATGCCTCAATGTGAAGCGACTACCCAATAGAATGGAACCCTTTCATACTTGCCAGAGTTGACCATCCTCAAAGACCTACCTTTCAGGTTGTCACTGAGGTAGATCTTATACCTCAGTGAATTGCAAAGAACGACTCCCACAAACTTTCTGTACCATGTCCGCTTCACGTATTGCCTCCCGTGGCAGTCGGTGTGGCCAGGGTCATGTTTGAAAGCAAATGGGATCCAGATGGGCTCACCACCTAGACAGTGCAGATACACCTTGAGGGAGGTGGCCACAGGGCTCATTACGGCCCAAAGTACCAGTAAGTTCCCTGGCTTCCCTTCCTCTCAGGGCTTTTTGGGGTGAAGTGCTCCCACTTCTGGAAGGAGTGCCCTCTTTCTTTCTCCCCTTCTTTCTTGCACTAACGAATAATCAGTAGTCTCTTTCACCTGAATATGATTTAGAAATACAGCTTACCCGAATATAGTGAATCCCTTCACTAAAGGATTCTGGGAGTAAGAAATCCTTTAAGCCTCAAGGAAAAATAAACTCTGGGGGCAAATTTGCTATCCTACTCCCCATTCCTGAAGTTCCTCAGCCTCCTACTGGTCTTATCACTCATCAGTCCTGCCGTGAAGTCAGCAAGGGGGCTTTCCTAGTTTGTTTGAAAAATGTAGTAAAAATTTGTTATACACTTGCATATTTTGCTATCGTTTGATCCATTTGAAATATTCAAAAGGATGATGTAAATTATTAAATGCAAATATTTCATAGATATTGACCATCCCATAATGATTTTGTTTGAAGACATTGGGTTTTTTTTTTTGGCTCTGTTAAAAAATTCCCAGATCATTCTTTTCCCTGGATCACGATATTGGCCCTTGACAGGGTACAAGGAAACCCTGGAAACTGGCAGAAAACTATGAAAATGTAAAAATAGTCCAGCATTTCCACTTGTGAGTAATTATAACAATCTTCTATTCAATATTCAACTTGACAACTTTATCAAGAGAGAAACTTACCTGGTGGCCTCACAACAAGCAGTGGATTGTCTATAAAATGAAAAAGAAATAGTTGTCTTCAGTATTGTATTTCATGACCATGTAATCATTAAAATGTTTTTTGTAATTACACGAGTTAACCAGACTGAAATAAAAACAATGAAATGTTATTTCATAAATGCCAATATTTCCCCTTAGTTTTTATTTTCTAAGCATTTCCTTTTGAGGAGTGGTCTAATTATATTGCCTAGCTATTTATATAGAAGCTTTTTGTGGGTTTATATGTGAATTCCATTATATGCAAATCCCTAAAAATAATCTTTTGATACTGGCTACTACAAAATAATTCTACATTCATTATTTGCAAACATGTATCTATCTTGAGAAAAAGATAGGCGTTTTCTAAAAAGGTAAATATGTACCTACTTTATGATTCCTCCACTGCACTTGTAGGTATTTATCCAAAAGAAATTAAATCATGTCTATACAAATACTTGTTCCTCAGTCTCACCCAAGACAATCCTATTAGAGTCTGGAAGGGCCCAGATTTTCATCTCTCACCCCTGGGAGGCCACCAAGGTAGAGTGGGAGCAGGGTGGCTTGCCTCTTGGGAAGTGGGTGGCAAAGAGCTTTTTTCTCAAAATTTTGCATTGCAGTCTCAGAAGTTAGCTTCATATCGTTTTCTACTGCAATCTATGTGATACAGATTTCAGATGTTAATGTCTGCTTTTTATGGATGTGGATGATTTTTTTCTATAGACTTTGCCATGTTAATTCTGTAGATGCCAAAAGACCATTTATTTTTAGGAAATGCAACCATAGACACGTTCTTGACTCAAGCAAATTAGCCCTTGATAATGAGTTCGTCTTCCTCTCTCCTAGCTATGAACAAGAAATATGCTTTCTTGATGAAATAGGTGTAAATATTTTGGAAGGCCTTTGCCTATCTTTCCAGTTCAAAATATATTCCCACAGAAGATTTTATTTTTCTACGTATTCTGATCCTGTACTTTCAAATCTCCACTTAAATATATCTTCCAGTGATAAATGTCCTTTCACCAGGCATCTTGCAGTGACAAATGTCCTTTCACAGAGGAAATAATCTAGCCACTTGCAGACAGAGCCATTGCCATATGGAGCGGGCTTGGCCGGGCTCCCAGGGTCTCTGGTGTGGAGCCACAGGGACAAAGATGGGCTTCCTAGAGGGAGAGGTGGCGAGGCCAGGCATCCAGACTGTCACAGGTCTGTGGAAAGGCTTCAGGCCACCACCACAGGCATGTTTTCCTGGAGGGCCGAGAGCCTGTACACCAGCATCCCAGGCCCGAGCATGAGTGCTAGTGTTGCTTATGATACTACATGGGCTTTGGATTAAAGTCTCCACCTTAAGTGAAGACATCTCGGTCTCCCAGTAAAGGAAGCATCGTAGGGATGGACTCCCTGGAAGAAGCAACTGCCTCTGGCCACAAGACAGTTGTACTCTTCAGCAGTTTGAAATACAAACAAAATTATTTCTGTGACTAAATCTTTTTCAGATAGATTTAAACTTATCTCTCACACGTGGCTAAAAACTGGATTTTTTTTTCCCCTTCATTGGAATTTGAGCTTTCTATTTCCCAGACATTTCCAAAGAAGACTTTGATTTCATTATCCAAGTTTTAACCCGGAGAAAGAAAATACTGTTGATTTTATTTATTTACTTACATTTTAAAAGGACAGGTTTGTTAGGAAAAGGAGAAAGAAAAAGAGGCGTCTGCGCAGTCCCCGGCGGCCAGGAGAGCTGCCAATGTCGACTTAACAGAGAGGTAGCCGACGCGGACTCATTCAATAGAAAGGAAAGGATTTCACGTCATTAAGGTTTTCTCTGTTACGGTTGTGATTCCTGATTATTTGCTCTTAAGAAAAGGAAACAGTGATTATGTGAAGTCGTCCATACCTGATTCTGTAACAAAAGAGACCGAGGGGCTGACAGGTCCATAGCCATGAGGATTTTTGGCTTGAACTTTAAAATAATACCTGAAATTGGAAGAAAACACTTTTTGAAACCTAAGTTTGACTTCTGCATGATGAGACTGACCCCCCAAACATGGAGCCCAGCTTTCCACAAATGCATGTACCACTGCTGTTTCTTCATATTTTTTCTGGGCTTTCTCATTTTTTGAATAGCCTTTTTTTTTTTTTTTTTTTTTTGCATAGAGGAACCAAGGTATGGGCCAGAGGTGCAGGGGTAGGGAGGAAGAAGAGAATTCCCCAGAGACAGAGTGGGGAGCAGAACAGGCAGATCTACTGAAATACACAGCTGAGGGGAGCAGCAGGCGAGACAGGAGAGGTCTGCTGTGGGTCAGCTCCCTGGCCAGGGATCAAACTCAGGCGTGGCAGCAATAGCAATGAGACTTAACCCCTCGGCCACCAGTGAGGCCCAGAATAACTTCTAAAAACAATGCAATTAGCGGCACAGACGTGCGGTTAAAGAGAACTGAAAAGGCGCTTAGACAAGTAAGGCCCTCGCATGGGGGTGTGCCCCAGGTGCGCAGGGCTCCCCGGGGAGATGCTCCTTTCTTCCCCTGCTCTCGTCTCAGCTTGAGTCCCACACCCTGAGAAGGAGAAGTTGGGGCCACAAAGTACACGCAGAACACATTTGAATTTTGACTGAATTCTTATCACTGGGTCCTGGAAAAGCAGGATGGCCGACCCAGCAGTGCTAAAACTCGTGGTTGGCAGAGAGCAGGGCACCCAGCCAGAGGCTGCCTCTGCAGTGGCACTGACCCATCGATGAGGCTCTGGGCATGGAGTGGGCACCGTGGTTGGCTCTGCAGCCTGAAAATTTCCTGAGTTTCGAGGTCTGTGTCTCAAAGAACCAGGGGAAGTGGAAAACGCCTGGAGAGGTTTTGCTGTGGGATTGATTTTTGTCTTGGAACAAAGAAAGCGCTAGAAAGCACATTGTCTGAATGAGCTAGTTCATCTAGGGAAGGACTGAGAAACCAAGTAGGTTGGGTTCCCAAAGCAGATACTTCCTATTCCTATGAGCAAGGACAGGAAGTGGTGGTCAGGCCATAGCGGATCCTTCCAGGAACCTGTCCAACTGTTCCTGATCGCCTGTTTTCCCACCTCTGGGATTCCAGCTGTCGTCTGTTGTCTCTCAGTCCTCAGCTACTTACAGGCGAAGAAGGGGGAATGAAATATCCCTGGAGCGGTGGTGTCCGCCATTTTAGAGCCTCATGATGAGCCTCTTCCTGTGGCTTCTTGCCAGCAGGAGTCACACTTCACTGTTACTAAATGCTTCACTTAAGACAGCAGATGGCACGCGCTGATAAAAGTGCTCTGCGTTAGGGCATCCAGGGAAACAATGAGCAGGCGCCTCCAGCCTCTCCCTTCCTGGCAGTGGAGGCCAGCCCTTGCCCAGGGGCTAGAGTGGCCATAGCTGCCCCGCGTCCTCCTGGCCCTTCCATTCAGGTGCCAGGCGGGCATCCTGGAAAGGAGCTGGGGTAGCAGGTGCGGCCCCTGTCTGTCATGTGGGAGCAGGTAGGACAGAAGTGACAAGGGGCTCCGAAGGTCCTGCGGGAGCAGCCTGTCCAGTCTCTGGCCCCCTCTCCTCACCCTCCACATCAGCCTGTTTTCCTTCCACAGACACGCCAGGCTTTTGAACAAACTTTCTGCCGGGAACAACATGGCCTCACCCTGCCCCCACCTCCTGCTTATCTGGCTTCCCCAGGAATGGTAACACACCCGAGGGTGCCCTCGGACACATGCATGGGGGACTTTTCCCCCTCAAGGTACCAACCAGTGAATGCTTTCGTTTATAAACAATCTGTCTCTTGTCAAACTCTGGGCTCCAAGAGGGCCGTGGTGCGTTTCTGCCCCTACTGAAAGGATCAGTAAACCGCCTCTTGACATGATACAAAACTCAACATCAGCCCAGCAGCAAATGGTGTAGAAAGAACACTGGGCTGGGCAGGGGAGGGCAGAAGACCGGGATTCAAATCCTCCTGCAAGTCACTAAGGCGTCTCCTGCTGTCTGCAGCAGCCTGTCACTGCACACAGCTGGAAAACTGCATGTTGACCCCGTTTGCTTCATGACACTGCTTCTGTTTCCTTTAATCAATTTACCATCGTTGTTAAGGAAAAATAAAGATAAGGGCCTTCTTGGTTTCCTATTTTGTGACTTACTCCTTATTTGCTAAATTCTGACGTTCATAATAGCTATGAACACTGGGTTCAAGGGCACCCAAATGTCACATTGAAATGAGGCAATAAACCAACAACCCAATCGAAAGCTGGACGAAAGACCTCAACAGGAACTTCTCCAAAGAAGACAGACAGACGCCCACAGGCACGTGGGAAAATGCTCATCATCACCATCAGGGAAAGGCAAATCGAAATCACAAGGAGTGACCATTCACCCCTGCGAGAATGGCCCACATCCGAAAGCCTGGCAGCCAGAGATGTTGGTGAGGATGTGGAGCAAAGGGGGGCCCTCACATACTTGGGGGGATGTCACTTGGTGCAGCCCCTGTGGAAAACAGGGCGGAGACTCCTCAAAAAACGAAAAATGGAAATACCATGTGATCCAGCAATTACGGCTTCCAGGTATTTACCCAGAGAAAGTGAAAACAGGAACACGAAGGGAGTAAGATCCCCTGAGTTCACAGCAGTGGTCACAGCAGCCATGAGCAAACACAGACGCCCACCGACAGACGCCTGGATGATGAAACTGTGGTGTATGGGCTCGATGGAATACTATTCGGCTATCAAAAAGATGAAATAGTGCCTTTGGGGACAAAATGGCACCTTGAGGTGGCTGTGCTAAGTGAAATAAGCCCAAAAGTGAATGACAGATACCAGATACTTTCACTCATTTTCAAAATATAAATAACCCAAGAAAACAAATTGGCAAAACACACACAAAAATAACTCTTGGACTCTGTGGAAAATCATCACGGTTACCAGAAGGGCTGGGGGGAGGGAGGAGAGGTGGGGACAGGAGAGTGTGCGGCTCTGGTGGGGGGCAGGTGGGCATGTGTGTGCTGTACCCCCAAGTTATACAGTCATGTAAGCAACTGGCAAATCAATAAAATGCAAGAATAACTTTTTTTTTAAGTCCTTCGAGAAAATTGAGGGCTCTCCTCCCCAAGGCAGGTCCTGTCCTTTCTCTGTAACAAGGGCGTTTTGTTCCAACCTCCTCTGCATTCCTCTGAGCACAGAACACAGGAGATCTGGGCCACCGGCCTGACCTTGAGCCCATGAGCTACGCACTGTGCAAGTCTAGCCCCAGGCGCAGGGACGGAGTCTCATACCGTGTGTTTGGCTTCAGGTTCTCGATGGGCAGATGTGTCACCGAGGAGGTCTGAGTGGACCATTTGTTCCTGATGAAGTCTTCATAGGAGGCGCTGTAGACCAAGTAGCCTGGAGGTGCAAAGAAGAACCACCCAGTGGGCATCAAGGAGCCAACACCCAGGAGGCACAGAGGGGAAGGGATGGCAGAGTCGGGCTGAGGGGAGGGCTCAGGAGGGGCCAGCAGCACGCTGGGTCAGGTGGAATGTAATGCGTGCACCTCTGGGTTCCCAGACCCTCTGTGACTCCAGCTGTGAATGGCCAAGTTCAGGACACCCTTGACGACGACGGTTGGTTCCCAGCCTCCCTTCCTCCACTTAGAGTCTCCCACATTCCCAGGCCTTGTCCAGGCCTCAGACGCTTCACATCTAATCCTGACAGCACAGAGGATAACACAGCAGCAGAAGACATGGTGGCCTCCACAAGGTGTTGTTTCCTGAGAGACACATACAGTCCTGCCTGTGCAATGAGAGACCCCCCACTGGGGCCTGCTCACCCAGCAGGTGAGCCTCTCCCTTGCTTTCTAGCTGTTGAATGCCGGGCCCGCCTGGACCTTTCTGTCTAGCAGCAGCAGCGGGCAGCTCTCCACTTGCTTTTTGCTGTCACAGGATGTCGCAGCCACCCTGGGCCACACCTATCAGCCTTCCGGGCTGCCTGAGAAGGCCTAGGGTGCTCAGGCCGCAGCTTTGCATATCCCTCACACCGGCTCCCTTATGTTATTCACACAGGAAGAAACATTTGTCAAGCACTTCCTTGTGCCAAACATTCTGCTAAACGCTGTCAGTGAAGCTTATTTGGATTAATTCTCTTCGTCCGAGCATGTCAGCATTGCCATTTAACACTTGAGGAAAATGAGCCTTAGAGGTTAAGTATCTTGTCCAAGTTCACACTTGCTGATTCATTCCACAAATATTTACCGTGCGCCTACACCTTGGCAGACACCGTACCAAGTGCTGGAGACAGAATGGTGTGCAGGAAGGAAGAGAGAAAAGAACTAGACCCTGCAGTCAGCACCATGAGGCAGGTGCCACATGCTCTGAGAGGGTGCAGGGAGCACTGACTCCTCAAGGAGGACAGCATCCTGGGGGTCAGGAAATGGGGCTGATGTCTGAGGATGGGCAGCACTTAAGGTGTGTGGGAGCAGGTGAGAGAGGGACCACCTGGGGAGATGCTGAAGAAGGAGGAGCCAGGGGGAGGAGCCTTGGAGGAGCAGCTGGGGGAGGGAGGGAGGTGAGTCTAAGAAGCACAGGATGGAGAAGACCCGCAGTGCCTAGGTCATGCAGGCAGCTGCTTTTCACTCCAAAGAAATGAGCGGACATTCAGGGGTGACACACCAGACTGTCCACAGTGCAGCCCCGAGCAGCAGAGAATGCCTGGGTGTGGGGTGTGATGGGTGTGGGGTGTGATGGGCATGGGGTGTGATGGGCGTGGGGTGTGATGGGTGTGGGGTGTGATGGGCGTGGGGTGTGATGGGCATGGGACGTCATGGGCTGCTGTAATATCCAGTTGAGAGCTGGCAACAGACTTAGGTTAACGTGCTGGTTAATGGACAGAAAGGGTGGTGCCAGAAGAAGATTGGCTGTCGTGTGATGGAATGTTCCACTCTCCTCAGCCTGAGAGGATTTGGCATGACTTTATACTGGGGGTGCCCGAGTCACTACGACACCCTTCCACGTTATTTATGCTAGTGTTGTGACTGCTCATGTACTGAGGTTTGGTTTCGGGTTAGGTGGAAGGGAAGTGGGGGTGTGAGACACCGAATCCTCCAGACAGCTTTGGGATGCTAAGTTAGCAAGGCAGGCAGTTCAGAAGCACGCCTTCTACAGGACAGTGTGGGAATCATGTCTTGGCTCAATCCAGAGACTCCTGTGGGGGTCCTGCCTGCATCAGCCCCTGAGGCACAGCAGAGCATGACCAGCGCCCTCCTGCAGCCAACGTTTCTTAAGAGGCCCCTGGCACAGGGCGCAGTGGCGTGTTTGTCTTAAATAACACCGGTTATGCAAGAGATCAAAAGCTTAGTAGCTTAAAAGAAGGTTTTCAATTACTTTTCGGTATGCTAACTTGCTTTTAAAAATTGTCATTCATAAAACCACATTCAATGAATAAAACACTTTGCTGGCTGTTTTGACCACAGACTTCCCTGCTGCTATGAGGCATTCACTTTCTGCCAGGGACACGCTGGCCTCCGCAGATGCTGGCCTCCACAGCCCATGCAGCGTGGACCACAGCAACTGCCACAGACACGGACACCGAGGACTCAGCCTCCTCCATCCTGACCCTCACTGCCCTGGGCCTTCAACCACATGGGCTGGACACCTAGGTGCCCCTAGGACTCTGGTCCTGACTTTTGGGTTTCTATGCAAATAACATAGGAAAACTCCTCTCAAAATGTCTTTGGACATTTTTCTCATTTTAAGAGATAATGTTGGAGAAATAAAAACAAAACCTTTAGTCATTTTTGAATTCTCTGAACTAAACTGGTATAACAGTGGCAGATAATAAGTCAAGTTCCAACCAATGCCCAGTCCGCAGACAGACAGACACACAGACACATTCCTACTTCTTGTATAACTTGTAGGCCCAGAATGCAAAGGAAATACCTATACAAAGAAAATATATAAATTCTCTTCTTTAAGAATGTATTTCAACAGATTTATCCTCAAAAATATCCTTGGCAGAGTCAAATGAATTCATGAACAGCCACAGGCCAGGGCTGAAGAGGCACAACCTCCTTGGATACGTATCCATCATATCCGATTCCCATACCAGGAGTTCAGAAGCACCCAGAGGCAGGGAAAGCAGGTTAGAGTCCTAATCCCAAGGGGGAGGCCACAGGGGGCCAGCTCACAGTGGACAATAAGGGCTGGCCGGATGATGGATGAAAGGACGATGCGTGCATAGGTGAAGGTGGATGCGTGACTGGATGGATGGATGAGTTGGGTGGATCCAGGATAGATGGACACCTGGACACACAGATGAACAAGATGGATAAACACATGTCTTCCTTCAGAAGGGAAGAACACAGGCAACAAGGGAAGCCTTGGACTTGGGGGGACTCTCTGACCACTCACAGGATTAGAGACTGTTATAGATGTAACACTTTTGCATAGGAGGAAACCAAAGTCCAGGGGAATGAAGTACATAGATCAAGGTCACACAGACAATCTGGGACTAGAATTCAGGACTTCTGGCTTCCATCCAGGGCTCTTTAAACTGCCCCACAAGGCTTCCTTTGTTGCCTATGTTCCATCCAGCCCTTATTGTCATATTTCCCACCAACAGATTGACGGGAACTCCAGGCATCTGCCTTGGACACACCTGTGACCACATCTCCCGGAGTGGCTTTGTCCCAGTCCACGATGACAAATGAATGGCACCCTTCCATGGCGACCACGGTGATGTTTCGGGGAGCATGCTGAGGGGGCAGGTCATTCTTCGTCAGGTCATTCGGGATGATTTCATTCAGGCTTTCCACTTGGAAGTGATCCAGAGCGTCGGTCAGAGAGCATGGAGTCAATGGGTCCTTACTGAGGTATGTCACGTAGGGAGCTGGAAAAGAGCAGAGATGCTCAGTCAGGGCCAGGGCTCATGGCCTTCTCTGAGGGCAGACACCTAACTTCTTCTCCATGAAGTCTGACTCACAGTCATTCTGTACCTGCCAGGCAGAGGCTCCAGGCCCCAGTGCGATACTAAACGCCCCCAAATGGATCCATGCAAATATACCTTTCAATCTGGCGGCCTCAAAGTCTTCTAGTGCCCAATCAGTACTGAAGACTCTGCCTTCATTTGAAGGAACCCCAAGCATTGTGTCTGTAGCAACCTGTTATTCCTATACCCAAATATTGGGGAAAGTGTGAAGGAGGCCCAACTGGCACTTAAATAGGGGTCTCTCAACACAGTTTATTCCCTAGACTGTCTTGGGACCAAGGGAAAATGTGCAGAGATGACAGTGATGCCCCTATTAGTGCCTGTGGCCTCCCTAGGGCATGAGACACCCCCACAACCATCTGCAATATCCGTACAGGTCAGGCCTGAACAGCCTCGAACAACATGACATCTGAGAGCAGTAATAGCTACTCACATTATGGACAGGATAGAGCTTTTGCTACCCACATTGTCTCCGTGCATACAAGGGCCCTGGGACTGATACCCCATATCACAGATGAGCTGTGACCTTGAGAGGGTCAGGAAGTTAAGGAGATTTACCTCCAACCCATAGCTGTCAAGAGAAGTTAGAAAGGCCTAAGAGTTAAGGGTAGGGCTGTCTACATGCAAGACTCTCAAATAACAAGTTCTAAAACTTTCTAAATATTCCATGGCATCTTTGAGTACTAGCTTCTCATTCTCAACTGCTGTTAGGACTGGAAGCAATTTCTAGATTCTCTACTTTTCCAGTACTCTGTATAAATTAGGCCTTTTGAGCTTGCCACGGGTGTCATCATAAAGTTTTGGGGAGTCATCTGCCATGCTTTATGGTCACAGACATGTGAAGATAACCAGACTACAGTGAACATTTCAGCCTTCAGAAGAATTCTTTGGAACAGTTAACGATACCACTGACAGAATTTCCATTACTGTCATGAACTCTCGAGAGAAGAGTTGGAACATTTGGTGGATTGGGTCAGGGGCCAACACCAAGTTCGCCTCAGGAATGCCACCTCAATGGACGTTCCAGTGCGTATAGTCTGGACACTCGACTCTACATCTTGGCAGGCAAGAGCTGTTCTCTGCTGACGGCAGGACATTTGTTTTGGAAACAGAAACGTGCCATGTTAGCTTAAGCTATCCCTGTCTCCAACGATTTTATTCCACTTGGTAATATTAATCTATCTTGTTAGTGGAGGTCGTTAAGGACATGGGAAAAGCAGATTCCCAAAGGGAATGTAGCACATTTAATTCAATAGAATTTCCTTTTGAAAATGTTTTCATGGCTGAGAAAGAAGAGTCAAATAAATGTCTAGATCCAGTTCCTTGAGGCTAATGAAAATTATAAAAAAAACAACTGGAGACAAACAGCTCTGGCTCCATGGTACCAAAGTTCCAGTAGCTCAAGTTGATAAAATGCTCATCTTGCAGGAAGAATTTAGCCCTGAGTGTGGAGCTCCAGGCACAAATCTAAAGAAAGCTGTTGACAATAAAAACGCTCATGTCCTTGGGACTGATGATTTCTAGATATGCCAGGCGGTCACCCTAAATTCAGCCATTGGACTCCAAGTGCTCCCTTACCTGCCTTCTGCAGGAAACAAGCTAATGTGCCTCCAAAGGACTCACTGATCACCCCAAGTGGAAACTTTGCTCTCCTCCAAACGTGCGGCCCCTGCCAGCCCGGGGAGTTAGCAAAGCTCTTCTTCAAAGAACAACAGTGAAAAACCCAGGCTTTTTTGATTAAGGAAGTTCTACTTACCAACAAATCGTTTCTTTCCAGCCAGATCGAATTCCTCTTCAGGAAAGGAACTAACAGAACCTTCTGGAGAGATGACCTTGGGCACGGCAGCCGAGGTGGAGGGCCTGGTGGTGGCCAGTGGCCTTGAGGTTTCAAACTCATAATCTGAAATGAATGGAGGTTGGTCACTGGGCACTTCTAAAACAGGACACTGTCTGCAGTTAAGATGCCTCGTAAGACTTGGCTCCAGATTACAGCACACACGCGTCCACACAAGGACATGCATGTACATGCACAGATATGCACACTCACACATGTACACACATGCACGTACATTCATACATACACTCTGATGTGGTGCCTGACTTAATTTGTTTCTAATAAACCCCCAACCCAAACTCCACTTCAGTCTCATCAGCAAAGCAACTGCACACAAAAGAAAGGACAAGAAAACAGAAACAGACCAGAAGAAGAAATTTTTAGAATCAAAACTGAAGCTTAGAATTCATCCAGTTTAGCCAACTCTGGTCCAAGGCTGTTCCTTGCATGGTTTCCCCTGTGGAGCCATAAACAATTTACAGCAGAAAATAAACTGGATTTTTTTTTTCATTTATCATTTGCATGTGTTCTTTTTTTCTGGGAAAGGATAGGATTAATCCTATTAAGAGAAATAAACCTTTAACATTTAAAAACAAAAATAAAACTCTGCTCCCTTTCCAATCACGGGTAGGTATGAATGGTGCTTAGTAATTTCAAAGAAGCCAAGAGAGCTTCTTTTGCTTTTGCATATCTGCTATTTTCTTTGAAGTTGGTTTTTGTTTGAAAACTGTGGGATGGAATCATGACATTAAACTAATGGTTGCATCCAAGGGGACATGATGCCCACACTGGTGACTTGAGGCCTTCAGAGCCACAGTGTCAGCAGGCAGGTGGAGCACAACCCTGAGGACAGCCTGAGTGTCCAGGGAGGGCACAGGTGGGGACCAGATGCCAAGGGGAAGTTTGTCCTCTGCAGAGGCAACTTCCAACGCATATCACCCACCACTGGGCTGTAATGGCAGCACCAGGGGCCAGTGAGCCCGGGACTGCTGCACATGCCAGCAAAGGCATTTTGCATTCTTAATCTTAAAAGTTCACCCTTAATTAAAGGTTCTATGGTAAGAGGTCAATCAATTCACTACATCACATTTGCTATGAAATTATAAGTGTGAGAAAGAAAAACGCCAAGAGAGAAAGCTGAGAGGCAAACTGAGTAGGTTCACAAAGGCAGGGGGTGGGGGAGCTCAACTAGAAGGGGTCCCCCACTTCATTAGGGCAAGGAAGGCCTGGGAGGGAGTGAGTGGGCAACTTGGGGCTTGTCTGGAAGCTGCGTCTGCAGGTCAGGCGCACTGGCCGGCTTCAGAGCTTGTAGGCACTGGGGGTGAGTGAGAAGGGCCACCTGGACCCCAGGTCAGAAGGAGACTGTGAATGATTGAGGCCACCTACGTAGTAGTTACAGAAAGACCCTCTGATCAAGAAAATGTAAATAATGGGCTTTAAATCAGCTTAGTACCTTCGTCGTAGACGACGTAGGCCTCTTCCGTGGGCATGGCCGTGGCCGTCTCCATGCCGGAGAAGTCTTCTGGGGAAAGAGGAGGAAGCAGGGTCACCCAAGGCCCTGGAGTGTCTCAGATGCTTTCAGAATCATGCCCAGGACAGTGCCATTCACTCCCCTGTTCATCCCATCAGAACAATCATTCCAATAGCAATAGGGCCATTTCCAGGGCTCCCCAGCTCTCTCAGGAGGAAGGGAGTAGACCCTGAGATGCATCCAGATTTTCTCTCCTTGGTGCTCACAGCAGATGAGATGCCCGGGCATCAAAAGAAAGACACCTCCCCTAGCGCCCACCTCTGTCTGACCTGCCTTCGTCATCTCAGCGCCCACTCACCCGCCAGGCAGCTCTCAGCAGGCAGAGGGCAGGACCAGGCCCACATGTGACAGGCCCAAAGACAGGCCTCAGAGAAAGTAGTTGGGGGGACACTCAGGATGGGGACAAATCCTTCCCACCCTGAGTCCCCCTGCTCCTTGCTCCTTCACTCTCTCCACCCCTTGCTTGGCACAGGCCAGTGCTGGCTGAGCTCCCACCTCTCTGTATCCTAACTTGGCAGACACACATAGGGGTTCCCTATACCTCAATGTTTCCCCCAGCCCCCCACACTCTGTCACCTACTCAGGAGACAAGCCTGGAAATAAATTTCTCTTTAAAGACGGGTTGGGCTTTACTTACAAAGCCACTAATCTATTATGGCTACAGAATTATCCATCAGATGCAATTTCTAGCAGTTTATGGTTGATATTTTCATGTCATCCAGGAAAACTCTAATTATCAGAGTTTTTACTGAAATGACTATTGTCGATGACAGCCTGATATTAGTAGCGTGGGCAGCATTGGGGCCAAGAATGCACCTGGGGTCACTGTCAAGGACAGAGCAGGAACAGCACCTGAATTTCAAGTTCTCTCCCTGCTGAGACCAGGTATTTGGTCCTTCATGAATTGCCTTGACTCTTTAACCATTGAACTAATCAGCCAATAGCTTGCAAATCTTGTAAACCCAACAGCCACCCTATTAGAATTGGCCTTCCGTAGCATAACAAAGGGGGAATTGAAGTAGAAAATAAAAACTCCCTTCACTATCAAAATTATATGCACCCATGTTGACATTTCTTCCTGTTAGGAAATCATGGATCATCCCCCAGAGAGATTCCAGCCAGTTCTGAGCCTCATTGAATAACACTGTGAAGGCTCTGGTGCCAAAGCAAACCCTACCCGGGGGGCCACAGCAACCTCGGGCTGCCCACCCAGCCCTTGTGTGGGTTGTAGAAAAAGCCCTACAGTGACCAGTGAGGTGCCCTGGCTCCTGCTTCACTAAGAGGCGGTGACCTTGGTGGGGTGTTTTGTTGGGACCAGTGGAGACCTACAGAGGAGTTATAAAGGCCCCACCCTTTGGGGGGCAGGACGATCATTTCAAGAAGAACTATTAAGCATCATTTTTCCTTCGACCATTCCAATGTCAATATGCTGGGGTCGAGGGGAACTGCTCCTGGGCTGATTCAAACCAGACAGTTTTTAAGTTCACACCCCCCAAAATTGGGGCTATCTCATCATTGTTTGCTGGAATACCATTTTCTTTCCCTTGTAAATTTAACTTCAAGAACACAGTCTTGTTTTTTATACTAACAGATCGGTTTCATTATTTTATTATTATTATTAATCAGGTCAAAATGGGAAAAAATGCATAATTTTTGCACCCTGGAGCAAGAAAACAGAGGGAAAAGCATACAGTTTCTTTCCTGGGTTCCTGGTGTTGAGCATAATTCCTTGAGGTGCTGAAATACTCCAGCACATGCAGCGCCCTGCCACAGGGATCACTTTTTGAGATGGGTGACAGTTAATTCTTCCAGCAAAATGGAACATTCTACCGTGACTTAGTGCTCTTTTATTTTGAAGACCAATTAAAGTCAGACATAATTTTTCTGAAATAGACCCCTCTTCTCCAAGTAAAAGGAACTACCCACTGTGATAAAAGATATTTGCATCAGAATTTCCACACCTAAGTGCCAACCTGAAGCTCTCAGAACAGCATAAAACTGGATGTTTGTTAAATCAACCCAGCATCGAAGGCATAAGCTTCCACATCTGGATATAGAAGTAGCAACCAGTCACCAAGCACAGCGGTTTGGTTTATTCTCTGGAGTACTATGTCCAAGTGATAATGAACAAAACCAGTGTAACCTGTCACCCAAGATTTAGGGTCTTAGCTTTAGAGAGATCAAAAAAACATAAAAACAAAAACAACCCTATAAAAGTATTCTCAGTGGAAGTTTAGAGAGAAGATAAACAGTAGCCATTTGAAACCCAAGCATCGCAAATTGTCCAATTGGTGCAGCTCAGGTGCCTTTTCCACTATTGTCTCTATTTTCTGTCTTGAGCGGGAGCTGTGTCAAGAACTGGTTTCCATAAAAACTGATGTTTTTCTGGGTCATGTCCCAAGGTCACGTACAAGGTCACAACTTTGGGAAACATTGATCCAATCTAATACTGTTCTGTGTCTCAGTTAAATTTTAGACTTGGGTTGTGACAAGGGTTACCAGATAGAACACAAGACAATCACTTGCTGTTTAAATTTTGGAGAACAAGCAAATAATTTTTCATGCACACATAAGCTAAGCAATGTTTTTGTTCAATCTGCCAACCCTCACCATGGCACGGCCAGGGGAGTTAACCTTGAGATGTCAGAAGCACCTCTGGCTGCCCAGCGCCCTGCTCTTCCCAAGGCCCAGTCCCTGCCCCTCCCACCTCCCAGCACCTGTCCCTCCCACCTCCCAGCACCTGCCCCTCCCACCTCCCTGCCCCACCCACCTGGCAGCCTCTGTGACTTTGCTCTGCAATGACACCTTGGCTACATGGGTACCACTAACCTTCTTCAGGGTAGCACTCCGGGACCCCGCTGGAGCCCAGGATCAGATTGCCATCTTCATCATGCTGTTCTAGGGTTCCAGGGGGACAGGTAGGCATCAGGGTGGTGGGCTCAGGGGAGGTGGTAGTAGTTTTCCTAATGGTCCTGGGGGTGGCTGGGCGGCGGGTGGTGGAGGTGCGGCGGGTGGTGGTGGTGGTGGTGGGCCGACGGGTGGCGGTAGGCCGAGGGGTAGTCTTGGTGGTGGGCCGAGGGGCAGTCTTGGTGGTGGGCCGAGGGGTAGTCTTGGTGGTGGGCCGAGGGGTAGTCTTGGTGGTGGGCCGAGGGGTAGTCGTGGTGGTGGGCCGAGGGGTGGTCGTGGTGGTGGGCCGAGGGGTGGTCGTGGTGGTGGGCCGAGGGGTGGTCGTGGTGGTGGGCCGAGGGGTGGTCGTGGTAGTGGTGGGTCTTGCGGTTGTGGTGGGTCTTGCTGTCGTAGTGGGAGCACGGGTGGTTGTTTTGATGACTTCCAAGCCCACCAAGGGCTTCCCTCCAAGACTCAAAATGGGCTTATCCTGGGCACTTGCCACGGGTTTGCCATGACGCCCCTGCCCAAAGAGGGGGAGGCCGTCGGGACTCACCACAGGGGTTCCTCCCAGATCTGAAAACAAAACCAGACAGAATCTGTGCAACAGGATGAAACAAGGCAGATGAGATAAATAGGAAGTGGAAGGTGCCTTCTCAGAGTTTAACTTTTAATCAGTAAAGGGGCAAAGGAATAATCAAAAGGATCGCAGCTGCAGCAGCAGTGTCTGCTGCTCTCGGAAAAGCTCTGAGCTCGTCATAGTGTCCATTACTCTGGACATTTCTCATATAAACGTCTAACTGTTTCATCAGTAGCCCCTTACTCTTGCATAACTCTTAGTCTCCAGTAAGGAAAGCAGTTCTCTGCTTCTCTTCATTCCTGCACCTCAGGAGGAGAAGTGTTACTTTGGACCAAGGGTGGCAAACTTTTTCTGCCAGAGAGTAAATGCTGTAAGTTTTATGTTGCATCCACTCAGCTCTGCTAATGCATGAGTGCAAAACAAGTGAGTGTTTCAAATTTCCAAATTTGTACATGGACCCTGTAATGTGAATTTCTTATCATTTTTACATGTCACAAAATATGATTGCACTAATTTGTGTTGCCAGCATTTAAAAATGTGTGTACTATTCTGAGCTCTGAGGAGGGCCCCAAAGAGACTGCAGACAAGGTGTGGCCCGAAGGCTGAGGTTTGTTGGCCTCTGCTCTAGGCTCCCCAATTCAGGAGTGAAGAAGAGTGCTGCCTTTTCCAGAGCGAGAAGGCTGCAGGAAGAGCGTAACTGAAGTCGTTTAGGGAAAAACAAATTTCTTCCCCTTTCGAGGTGCTCCTTTCCAGGTATCTCAAAGTAAGTGAGCAAGGACACCTCTTCTGCACTGTTGGTGGGAGTGCAAACTGGTCCAACCACTATGGAGAGCTGTGTGGAGATTTCTGGACCTACTAAACATAGAGCTTCCATATGATCCAGCAATTCCACTCCTAGGTATTTACCCAGAGGACACAGAAACATCAATTCCAAAGAGCACCTGCACCCCTATGTTTATAGCAGCACTGTTTACAATAGCTAAGCTTTGGAAACAGCCCAAATGCCCAAAAATAGATGACTGGATCAAGAAGATGTGGTACATATACACCATGGAATATTACTCAGCATTCAAAAAAGATAAACACATGCAATTTGCAGCAACATGGATGGCGCTGGAAGGGATCATGCTCAGCGAAATAAGCCAAAAAGAAAAAGGAAAATACCGGATGGTCTCACTCATAGCAGGAATCTAGAAAACTTAAATAAGGGACCAGGAAAATGAATAACTATAAGAAAGTGAAAATCAGAATCAACAAAAAACTATGAAACAGAGACACTTTTGGGGGGGTGGGGGGCGGGAGGGGAGGGATTGGGATCAGAATGGGGGGGTTGCAATTGTATGGGGAATATAAAAATAAAATTTATTATTAAAAAATAAATAAATAAAAATAAAATGAGGGGAGGTGAAGAGAGAAGTGGCTACTTTATAGCTAATTTACCACTTTTGTTCCTTAAAAAACCACTCTTACTTACCCACAATGGTCCGACCATCTCCTCCCAGCTTAACCCGCAGAGGGTTTCCTTGAGAATCTTGGAGGAACCTTCCTTCTGCGTTCAGTACTAACCCACGATCAAGATCCACCACCTAAATCCATGACATAGATTAAAGAATATAATGGACATTTTAAAGTTCACATTAATCCAATGTATATTATGCATGAAGCTTCCACAGAAGAAACCATAATGAGTGGAAACATGGCTTCTGTCAGTATCACTCTATGGTTTAATAAGAATAAAGTACAAAACAGTCATATTCATATTAAAATTGCTTACCTATGTATATGTAAGTTATTTTTTAAGTTCCTCAAAATACAATAGATGTTCAAAATATTTTCCCCATTTAGTATGTTGTGTATAATGTAGGAAAGTAGGAAACAAACGTACATCAATGAAACGAAGAGACTTTAAAAAGTATGACTTATCTATGCAATGGAATACTATGCAGCCAAGAAAAGGACCTGGAAATTCTTCATATTTTGGCATATGCTGATGTAAACTCATTATTTTGAAAAATTAAAAATATATTCATTTGTGTCTGGAAGTTTAAAATGATGACAGAGAAAAAATCTAGATGGATACATGCCAAATCAGTAATATCTCTGAGAAGCAGATGGGGTTTATTATCTTTTTTATATGTATCTGAATTTTTTTAACTTCTTGCAATGAATGTATATTGCTAGTGTATTAAAATAATGAAATGGTTCCATTTTGATGTTAATGGTAAAAATTAATGTTGCTATAACAAAACAATCTAACTTGTAATTAAATTGTCTAATGTAGTAACATACAAAAAGTTCACATGTTAAGGAAGTTTAAAACTCTGAAAAAGCTGTCATTATCTCTGAGAAAGTAAAAGCTCATGCTTCCTCCAGGTAGTTCATAAAGTGTGACTCTGGACCAGCAGCTTCTGTGTCCCCTGGGAATATGTCAGACTCATGAATTACCTCGTCCTGCTGTCATTGCCAAGTTCCCCAGTGATTCTAATGTTGGGTAACATTGGAGCGATATACCATCTGCCCTAACAGGCCACTGGAGGAGCCCCTGTAAACAGCCTACTTTGCTAGGTGCTATTTCGGTAATTAAATTTTATATGAATTGTACTTTTGAAATCTACCCCATACCATTTCAGCTTAAAATTGTTATCCATGGCATTTTGCTTTAATGCGAACTCTTCCTGTTATTAATGTCTGTTCCCTTGAGAAATGATAAAAGGCATCTTTAAATCACCTGTGCCTGAAGATTTTATGAAATCCTTCATTGTTTTCCTAACCTTATTGTATATGGTAAGTTTGGGCTGGGAATTCCACTATGAAGGATCTTTTTATTCTTTGAAAAAATATTTTAAAGCTCTGAACATTGTCAAGTATTTTGCCCAATACACTCAGCCCACTCACACCTCCCTGGATGTTTATGTTAACTGCAGGCAGTGAAGTGGCTGATTTAAACATCCACAAAGTACTAACTCTGTTTTATTGTAGCTGAACAACAACTATTGGAAGATTCCAAATGATCTGATAAAAACGTGACTATTTGAATCAGGACTTCTTTGTGCCATTCATTGTTTCCCCCTTACTTCCTTTTACAAAATATTGAACACAATTTACAGAAAATATGTGTGTTCTTTAATCAAATAATAAATAAAATAATAAAATAAAGCTATCAGGAGTGGAAAACAGACATTCACCTGAGATCCTGTCCAAGTTCAATTGCTGTGGCCAGACCCTCCCTTTGTGTGACTTCCTACCCAGTCAAGAAACAGATCAGATCTGATCGTTCTGGCTGGGAGGGAAAAGCAAAGTACTTATTCAAACTATTTAAACTACTTACTCAAGAGAATCAAAGATTTTTCTGAGCACTGGAAGAGGCTATAGACAAGCATATTAACATAGGAATGGTTAACACTAGAGAAAAAGAAGAAAAAGATCCCTTTATTGTTACCATTTTTCTCTTCCCAACCGCAGAAAACAACTGTATGTGTAAAGAAGGTTACCCTACCCACTTTGTTCCTTGAGGGCCATTGATAATTCTTTGTCCATTCGGTTTTCCATTACTATCAGGAAGTACCTTCCCTTCTACATTTGGTCTGCCATTATAACCTACACAGTACCAAAAAGATAACAGAACCTGGTAAATTCAACATTCCGGGAAAGTTGGCTTCAAACAATAAATAAAAGATAAAAAGAAAGCCTCAGGAGTGGAAACGAGAAGTTCATTTGAGAAGCTGCTTAGATAGATGACAAAGAGCAAGACATTGCTACGCAGAGAAACACTAAACAGAATTTTAAACCAACTGCTTGTATACGCTTGAGAGCCTTAATTTGGGACGTCTCATGACAAACATGAATGTCTCTTAAGAATATGGTAAAGTGAATTTTCTGATGATATTGGGGTAATGAGTGTTCAGTACAAGTACGTTTTCCAGATAAAGCTTACGACCTTAGTAGCTGTAGCTTGGTTTTAGTCAATTGGTAGTTGGGGGAAGGGAGATTTGGAAAGGATGGAGAAAATCATGGCTAAAACATACTAGATGCTTCTCTGCTCATCTCAGTCAGTTATAGATTAGACACCACAATTATTTCTGTTTGACTCAGGTCCCAGCCATTAATCACTGAGTATAAATGCGCAGAGCAGATTCAAAGCTTGCTGACCTCTTGGGCCGCTTGAGAATTATCTGCTCCGAGAGGAAGCAGAAGTTCCAGCTAGTTCCCTTGGGTTGCTGCTTCTGTTTGCTCTTTCGCCTTCATCTCAAGCCCTTTTCCATCTGTGCCCTTTCTGCGAGGGCTCTGCTGGGATTCCCCCTGGTCTTGCTTCTCCCCTGGGATGTGGTGCTTAGACTTTCTGACAAGTATTTGCTGAGCAGAGACTTATTTCTCCAGCTCAACTATCTAATTAAAATCAAGTATTTCTACACATTCTAATATGCACAAGGGAATGTGGCTTTTACATCTATTATCAGGGTCTTAGACTTGCTTAAAATGGTCAGTTTTCAATGAAAAATTAACCTGCTTATGGGTAATGTTCTGTCAGTGTTGGGCTATCATACCAATACAATGCATAGCTTAACAGACACAGATGTATTCTTTCAAGGACTTCATCAAGACTTCATTCCATGCAGAGTGCAAGGTGATACTTAAGGGGAAGCAGACTAAGGGACATCCCCACAATTCTGCCAAGGATGTGGGGGTGCTGTCCCCTTACACTCCAGTTCATAGCTGAGTTCTGTCCTCACTGTAAATCACAGATCTGCCTGTGACTCATCTGTGTGGCAATCACCTTGATCATGCCTTTTCTGGAGGTTTTCACTGACTGCAATGTGCTTGTTCCAGAGTATGTTCATTTGAGAGTTTTACTCAACAAGAGCAAAATGGAGCCCAGCAGTATCTGGCTCCTTGCTGAGGACTCTAAATAGCCCTTGGCATACCAGCAACTAAAAATAACCTAAAATACAGAACCTGAGTTTGGCATCCTGGCTGGGACACATTTCCACAGATTCAGAGCAGATGTGAAGGAATTCAGCAAGGCAGCATGGCCGAGGGGCCAGCCGGGTGGGGTGGAAGGGCTGGACCTTGGCACTGCTGGCATTTCTTAGTGCTCTGACCTCCAGCAAGCCCTCCAGATCCCTCAACTCCAGCTTCCTGGTCCTAAAACCCCCACAAGCAGGCAAGCTCTAAGAGGCTGGTTGAAGGAGATTGAATCATGTGACATTTGTGAGCTCCTAACACTTACAACTGCATATAACAGATGCTCAATAAATTTTTTAAAAGCCTCCCAGGGGCTGCCAAGAGCACTATTGAGAACCAGGAGGAGAAAGGAAGTTAAAAGCCAATTACCTTGTCTGAGAGGGGGTCTCACGGGCGCGCGCGACAAAGGGTTGCGGAACCTGGCGTTCATCATGCGCTGGCGCAGCGACAGCATCGGGGTGGTGGAGGAATAGAGCGGAGGGGCGCGGGTGGGGGACCGCGGCCGGGCCGGGGTGCCCGCGGCCGGACTAGGGGTGGCCGGGCTGCGAGCGGGGTGTCGCGGAGGGAGGTGCGGAGGGAGGTGCGGGGTGTCCAAGGGAGGGGCGTCCTCTCCCCGGGGGGGACTCCCTCTGGGGGGCGCGAGCTCCACGGCAGGCTCCCTCCCCGGGGCGCGGTCCTCGGGTTTGCCGCCGCCGGGCCACCTCGGAGCAGAGGAGGCCCGAGTGTCCCCGTCCCTGCCTCCTTCATAAAGCGCCTCGTCCTCCTCCTCATCCTCAGCCGAGACCGACTGCGGAGACTTTGACGTCAGGGGTCCCCTTTTGGATGGCGTGGCCTGGAGCGCCCCGTCCTGCTTCCCCACCGCCTGGGGTGCTCTGCCCGGGCCCCTGGGGCGGGCGTGGGGGTGCGGGGCGCCGGGCTGGCCGGGCCGCGGGGCGGAGCCGGGGGATCTGCGGAGGTGCAGGTCGTCTGCCTCCACCTGGCGGTGCTTGGGGAGCGACCCGGCGGCGTCCTTGGCCCGTGCGGCAGGTGAGGGCGTCCGGACACCTGCAGACTCTGCTTCTGCGCTGTCCTCGTGGCTTCCTCCCTGTCTGCTCTCAGCTTGCCTGTTCTGGTTCTGGGGAGACGCAGGGAGCACCCCTCGGGAGCTCGCGGTCAGCGGGTACCTGCTGCCGCTGGCCATGTAAGGGTCAGGGAAGGAGTTAGCGCCTTCCTGTGATGTGGGGTGGGGGCGTCCAGCCTGGGGGTGCACATGCTTGGCTCTGGAAGGCAAATGACCCGCTTCCTTGCTGTGGGCACCGTGGGGCTGTTGCTCTGACACAGAGGCCCGCGAAGGCGCCTGCCTGTCGGGAGAGGTGGCTCTGGCCCCCAGGCCTTGGCCCGGGGTCATCCTCTGGAGCACGCTGGGCCCCAGGTGGGGTTGTGACCCTGTGGCCGATGACCGAGCAGGGGTCAGCTGCGTCTTGGGGGACCCACCCTCCAAGCCCTCCTCTGTGCTCTGTTGAACATCCTGTGCCTTTGGGGGTAGAGACTTGCCTCGAGGGTGCGTACCAGCCCAAGGCCCGGCCAGTTTGGGGTTCTCTGTCAGGGGCTCCTTCCGCTGGAGGCTCGTTCCTCTCTGGAGGCCCCTTCTCGGCTGGTCCGGGCCCCGAGAGGCAGGCTGGCCGGGGGAGGAGGGCCCGTGGTCCAGGACCATGGTGGCGGGAAGTGGCTTTTCGTCTTCCGTGTCCCTCGCCTCGCCGTCTCCATGGACACCCAGGCCGCGCCGGGGGTCAGGCGCTGCGGGAGGACTCGCCCGAGAGGGAGCCCTGGAGGACGCGGGGGTCTGCGGGGAGCTGGAGGGCTGGAGCCGAGGTCCTCGGCCGTTGCCAAACCTGGTCGGGTACCTGCCGTGGGCAGCGAAGGGCCTGGCTCTGGGCAAACTGTAATGTCCTGAGACGGGCGGACCCCCGGGCAGCCGGGCCCGAAGCGTGGAGGCCGTGGCCTCTGCTTGCCGCCCTGCGCCTTCTGCGTGGCTGGCATCGCCCTCGGAGGCGTCCGACGCGGCTGGGGCGCGGGGACCCGAGGGCTCCCCGCCTCCTGCGAGCGCAGCCCGGGGGTGCGGCTGCGTGGGCGGCAGCCGGGATGACCCCTGGGCTGGAGACGGTCTCGAGGGGAGGCCTGAAGCACCCGGCTTCTCCTCCCCATTCCTGGAATAGGGTGTCCTGCGAGCGGGCAGGGCCGGCCTTGCACCCTGGTGGCCCCGGCTGCGGTCTCGCAGCGCCGGCCGGGTGTGGACGGCCCGCTTGGGGGGCTGAGGGACCGTGTCCTTAGGGTGGTGGGAGCCGGTGCCTGGCTCGTGCTCCTCCCGGCCCAGGGAGTCATTGTCAGTCACGCCGGCAGGCAGGTTGGTTGAGGGGTCCCCCGAGGGGCGGTGAGCGCCGTCCTCAGGGCGAGCGTGGGGGCCAGAGGAGGCGGGGCCCCCTGAACGAGGGTGGGAGACCAGCGAGGAGCCACGCGTGTCCACACCCTCCTTTCTGGGCGTCACCGGGGGTCGGACCCCCGCCGGAGTCCTTCGGGCATCAAGGACAGAGGGGTCGGATCTACTTGGTGGTTTCTGGCCCAGCGTCTCCCTGGCCGTGGTGGGCGAGGCCTCTCGGGAATCCAGCTCCTCCTCGTTGGTGATTTCTGTCGACTGAAGATCTAAGCCTTCCGCCCTAACCTTAGGCCGAAGCTGGGGTTTTCTGGGTACCCCACCATTAGCCAGTATTTTGTTCTTCAAGTCAAGAAGGGGGTTCTTGACATTTCTGCCTGGGGGAGAAGCAGTTTTTTCAGGCTTCCAGTTGTTCTCGGTGTCTGTTTTCTGCCCAGCGTCTGACTCACTCGTGCTGGCTGTAACAGATGTTAAAGAATTTGCGTCAAAGAAGTAGGTGAAAGTCACACAATACGCAGCAGTTAAGATGGTGGCATCAAGGCAGGTAACACTGGGTGTTGTGATCAATGACTTCGGATCTTTACAGCCCTGGACACTTACTTTCCCATTACAGGAATCTCTTAGAGTTCTATAAAGTCTTAGAAAATATGTGTGAGTTGAATTTCTCTAATTCAAATCAGGTTATGTCACAGGTTATTGTTTGAAGGAATTCTAAAATGAGTACTTTAGGGGCCTCCCTGGTGGCGCATGGGGTTAAGACGCAACCTATGAAGCTGTCCGCAGCCACTGCAGCACGAGTTCGATCCCCGGCCAGGGAGCTACCCACATGGCACAGCAGACCTCTCCTGACTCACCCACTGCTCCCCTCAGCAGTGTATTTCAGTCAATCTGCCTGTTCTGTTCCCCACTCTGACTCTTGGGAATCCTCTCACTCCCTCCACACTTCTGGCCTGTACCCCAGTTCCTGTATGCATAAATAAATAAATCTTAAAAAAATAATAAAATAAAATAAAATGAGTGCTTTAAAGTAATCCACTGATTTTGTAAATGCACACTTAGGTATAATTTTCTTGATAGCAAATTTTCATATCACAAATGAATTACAGCTGTTTGAACAACTTAGGCAGGAAATAAATATAAGACTGGTACAAAATGCTGGATGATCTATACTTAAAACTACATGGGGGGGGGGTGCCCTGTGCTTGGCCAGTGAATGGGGTGAGCAACAACTCTGTACATTTTGAGACATTATAAGGAGTCTCCCTAATAGGTTCTTAATTGCTTGAAATCCCTTTGATAGGGCCTCCCCCATGGCACAGAGGGTTGAGCGCAGTGCTGTGAAGCTGTCCGCAGCCTCTGCAGCACAAGTTCGATCCTGTCTGGCCAGGTAGATACCCACATGGCGCGGCAGACCTCTCCTGGCTCGCCCACTGCTCCCCTCGGCAGTGCTTTTGGTCCGTCTGCCTGTTCTGCTCCCCACTGTCTCTGGTGAATCCTCTCACCCTCCCACACATCTGGCCTGTACCCCAGCTCATGTATAAATAAAAAATAAATCTTAAAAAAATCCCTTTAATAAAGGATACGTTGATAATTTCAAAGTAAGACCTAGGATAAAAGGACTCCAGGTGTAGGAAGACATTCTATTAAGTGTGCTCTACCTTTCTATTAAGTGTGATTTACCTTTCCTGAGAGCAGGATGGATGGAAGGAAATTTCCTTGGGGAGGAGACTATAGAAAGTAATGGGCACTCAGAGGGGGGAAACTTCATCTATTTCAGTTTTCTAGGACAAAACTGTTTAAGAGTGAGGTGGGCTGTGGATCCTTACAGCCCAGAAGGAAGGACACAGCTGCTAACATCTGAGGTAAACCTGTGGAAGCAGGAAGCACAGCCTCCAAACACAAAGACCATCTTCAGGTTTCTTAACCAGCTTGATTTTAATTCTAGCAGATAAATGAGGCTATTGAAATGCTTCTGAGTAAAACTGCACCTTAAAGTCGTGGGCTACAAATGAAAAATGCTTAATGCTATTTAGAAGTTGACAAAAAGTGTCCATTAAAATGATCACACCATATTTGTAAAAATGTCCTTTTCTTGTCATCATAATCCCAGATTACTCAGTGATGGAAGATTAATTCCCTAATTAATACAGTGATGCTGTTATAATAGTTACTAACATTATGAGCAATCAATAACATCTTAGTCTTCGGGAAGACTAATTTCTAAAGAGACTACAAAAGCAAATCAATATGCAAACTTAGCTCAAAAAATCGTCCACAGAGTAGTTCTAACCAAAGAGCATGATTTAAAGTAACACACCGCCATTAGCAGTAATGGAGGACACAGACAGAGAACCACAAACACACAATGCGAGAGAGAAACACAAACACAATGAGAGAGAACCACAAACACACAATGCTTACTTGTTGGCATAGCGACAATGAAGGCTTTGGAGTGAGGCCCCAGTCCTCTCCTGTTTGCGGCCCGGATTTTGAAAAGATAGCGTTCCCCAGGCTGCAGACCATCCACTAGGGCAGAAGTAGTCTCTCCAGGATAGCTGAGGGACTTTGCTCCAAAGGGCTGGAGAGCCGGGGCGTATGAAAGAATGTATTCTGAAATGATTTGGCAGACGGTTGGAAGGAGGAAACTGAAAACAGTCCCGTGTCCAGCAGACAGACTGTATGGGCAGGATGAATTAGAACGTGCATTACTAAAATTAATACTCTAGCAATGCACGCCAAGTCAGCGGCCGAGCATAAAGACACGCAGAAGACAGCTAGTGTCCCCCGGGGCTACAGGCAGGGCCGTCAATAGCTGGCCATTTTCTATCTTCAGCAAGTTAAACATAGGAGACCCAGGATGCCAGTCTTGATACAATTTAGCAAAAAAGTTTTACACTGTATTTTGGGCTTTTCTTCATTGTATTTATTGACTAATTTACTATGACAGAATTAATATATCTGGAATCAAAGAAACCAAGGAAAAGAGATGGCAAAGGCTTGCAGCTGATTCACAATACCTGCTGACGCCTTTAAGGACTTCAGGTTATTAAGCTGGGCTATTTTATTTGCACATTAAACCAGGGAAACTGTATTTGGAATACAATCTTATTTTTGTAGGGATTATAAAAGTTCTGGATCAATATCTGCAGATAAGGATACATCATAGGATTTTAAACTATGAAGCACAGCTGCAAAGAATAGATTTATGCATTGTCTAATGTGTCCATCTTTAGTTGGCTATAGATATAGACATGTAATGTCCTTGAACTTTGAAAATCACAGTAAATTCAGGAACTGACCTAACTCTATGCTTATGTGGAAATACTGTGATATAAGGAAACCATGTTTGAAAGCATAACTTTCACCCTCCACTAAAAATTGTTATGCCTATTTTCTTCCCAAAGAACTCAAGATTTACTGAACTTATCAAGTTCATCTGAGTAGAAGTTAAGCAAGAAATTTGAATTATAGGAAAACCAAGAAATTACATACTTCCTAGCAGAGTTTGGAAGTTCTTTTCCTTCCCTAAAATCTAATCTTTAAAAAGTATGTCAATGAAAAGGCTTTCAACCAAAAATGCCTGTGCAAAATGTGCCTGGAAAAAAAAGACACAGCATTCTTTTCTCATTGAAAATGAACAAACTAGTCATTTGCAGTGGTCAAAAGTAAGAATCAAAAGAACCCAAAGTCTATAAAATTTTGTAATTCTGATTTTTTATGATTTCAATTCATCTGGAAAAAATTTAACCAAAATGTATACTTTGTTAAGCGTATATTTAACCAAGTATATACTTCTATTATGTTTTATATTTCTCATACATAAAAAATGCTCCAGTGTAACTGAGAATTTTCAATCCCACCACAACACCTTCTTGAAAACCACCTAAGCAGGGTTAAGATATGTGAGTGCTTTTGGACATAAAAACCCAATGGCTGTTATTATTTCTGGCAAAATTGACTACAGGGCACTTCTTTCACCAAAAAGCTATAAATATAAACTAACATGGGGAGAGGGAACAAAAATAAATAAGTAGCATGGTAAAAAGTCATAAAAGAACAATAATTGACTTTTCTATAACTCAAAAAAGCTTCAGCCACAAGAATGTCTTTTTTTTTTTTTTTTTAATTTTCAGAAGGCTCTTCAGCATCACAAGACAGACATAAAAGCCAAGGTTTAACTGTCATGAAGAAAGAGTCAAGGAACCATCTAAAGAGTTCTTGTCTTCATTTGTTTCTCATTTATCCCAGTGGAAAAAGTGAACAAAAAACCGTAAAGCATAGCCTTAAAAAACTGGAAAATGAGAAAGCATTAAGTTTAGAAAACACTACCCTGCATCCACCTTCTGGAACTTCTATTGTTGCATGAAAAGATACTCCTGACTGCATAACAGCAAAGATAACTCTTAGTTGAACACAAAAAACAACAATTCCATTTTGTCAATGAAGAAATGCTCAAGGATTAGTGATTACTTTTTAGATTTCTATAAGCTTACACAAACTTGTCATAGTTTCTGAACATATTTGACTTAAAGTTATCTTCCAACAAAAAGGAACAATAAAAAACATTCTTAGGGTACATTTGTACAGACTGTCAGGAGAAAACCTTTAAAATGTTTTCCAGACAGAGAATTCTGGGGGTCCTGCTCAGTCCTCTCCATGGTCTCAGGAGCTCAATGAAAAGGCCCACAGCATGAAAAGCAGGGTGTCACGTGTGGGTTGAAGGGGTGACAGTGCACCATGCAAACCCTGCCTGGTAGCAGCACCCAAACCCCAGTGCATAGAGAAGACAAACACCCATCTTTGTGGATACCCAGATCTTACTGAGCCCCCGGGAGATATCCTCGTCCCCTGAATCAGCACCCCATATGTGTAGGGTGTTCCCTGCTTCCTTCGTAGTCACCAAGTCTGACACTAGTACCCATGTGGATCATGGTGGAACCCACATCTCTATCTACGGGAGTTCACACCCTTCAGGAGGGAGGCGCCTACCTTTCACTTTTCCCTCAGTCTCCGGAAGTGCATCCCAAGCTACAGTGACAGCTGTGGGTTTGTCACTCACTGGCCAGACCTTTAGGTTTTCAGGAGCCGTGGTAGGAGCTACAAAAGACAAGGACACAAGGGTTAACAGTGCTCTAACAGAACTCATAAAAGTAAACGACATATGGCTGGTGGCTTTGTGTTTGTTTTTTTTTTTTTTTCAAGATTTATTTATTTATGCATACAAGAATGGGGTACAGGCCAGAGGTGTGGGCGATGAGTGGATTCACCAGAGACAGAGCGGGGAACAGAACAGGCAGACTGACTGAAATACACTGCTGAGGGGAACAGCGGGCAAGACAGGAGAGTTCTGCTGCGCCATGTGGGTAGCTCCCTGACCGGCCAGGGATTGACCCCGTGTTGCAGTGGCTGCGGATAGCTTCATAGGTTGCATCTTAACCCTTTGTATGTATACTTGTTTTCATTGGATTGCTACTGTGTCAGGTTTTATTTTATACTGCCCTTAAATCGTACATCTTAAGCATAAACCAGTGATTTATTCTACCAACTCATAAAATGAGTTGAGACATATCTGGGGAAATGCCTTTAGAAATTGAGAATTTCCCATTGCCAAATATTGAAATATACAAAAGAAATTAAAATCTAATTCCAACTTCTTTTTAATAAGGCTTTTAAAGTCATGGTTTAAGAGAACTGTTGCCTTGGATACAGAACAAAATGTTCCCCCAGAATCAAGCATAGCCTCAGTCTTAGGAAGAAATAGTGTCCCCTCCCCGCCAAAGCTGTGGGAGGCCACGTTCATTCACACACACCAGGGGGACTAATGGGGGCTCCCCAGGGGTCTCATGTGTTCCCTGTGTCAGAACAACACGCTAATGAGAAGAGCATGAGTGTGAACATGGATCCAGAGAACAGCTCTCCCGCCTCTTTGTATTTATTCACAGAAATACGACCAAGATTTAGGGTTAATGTCTCTTTAAAAAAAAAAAAAAAAGCTGCTGGGCCTTACCACTATCTGCTTTTTCAGCTGTCATTAAATCTTATTTTAGGGGAAATCCCCAAACTGAAAATTCAAAGGCTCTTTTCAATACAAACCAGATTCTGGGGTTCTCTGGAAGACAGATGTGCTCCACGGGCCGTCCCGCTCGCCCTGAGAAATGCGGACTGCAAACTCGTACATGGTGTCGGGGATCAGGCCCTCGACGAGCGCGCGCCTGTTGGTGATCTGCTTGTAGTCCCACCGGGCCGACTCCCCCTTCTCGCGGTAGCGCACCGTGTACTGTCTAGAAAAACGCAGAGGGAAGCATGAAGCAGTCGCCTGAGCCCCACCCCGAGCTCACGAGGTCCGCCGCTGGCCCTCCCTCCCCGTAGGTGATGACTTTTGAGGAAATTATAGAGGAGAAACAATCTCAAGTTGTGATGAAATTATCAGTCAAAGAATCCACATAAACTCCAAGCCAAGGTGTCTCGAGCTGCCAGGAAAGATGGAACTGGCTTTCTTGTCAAGACCATGAGTCTTACTGCTCAACAGATCAAGAGATGAGGAAGGGAAGGGAAGCAGGAGGATGGCCGGCTGAGACTCGTGCCTTCCAGGTGCACCTTGATGGGGGGGTGAGGGCAGGGGTGCATGTGGAAAGGGCAAAATTAAGAACCAGTAGAAGGCATCTTGACCCTGCAGAACAGAAAGCAAGAAGAGCCATTTCATGCCGAGCCAGGCGTGCTTTCTGTAGGTCTGGGGGGAAGGCACCAGGGGTTTTGAGTGGACGTAACATTTGAGAAGGAGCAAAAATGCAGAACAAACAAGACAGGAAGGGGAGCTTCTAAAAGAGCTCTGGGGTGATTATCAGGGACAGTTGCCCAGCACCACCCAACATGATGACATTCAGCCATCCCAGACAGAAGACTCCTCAGTAACTGGAAATGCCAGTTGCTGGATTCGTTTTCCAAGAAATGTTCTCTGTGACCTCTTTCCAGCACAACACATTTATGTATTATAAATGTGCTGTTCATTACACATTTAATAAGTCAGGCTAAGGCTTCAGCTGCAGACATGGCAGGCACATCAATGAACACACGAGGTCTGCTGTGAAAGCCCAAGGCCTCTTTAATGTTCATCAAGATGTTGGAAACTGAGTCCAATGGTGAGCAGGGCCATGTGGCTGGGGAGAGTCACTGTAAATCCTCCAAGAGCTTTCAAAGAAGCAGATGTCTCTTTTAATAGCAGACAGTGACAGAAACTACATCTCACACAGATAACATCATGCATATAGATCATCAGCATTACATTTCATTCATGCCCTTTAAAGTACCCTACTTTTCCTGGTTGCACTAAGTTTCAAAAATTAATGTATAATGACTAAAATACAGAATCTCTGGCTTCCTCTTGGCCTTATAAACCCTTCGTTTCACACATAATATTTGTTATGTTATGTTGACCCGTCATTTAATTAGAACTGGTATTCACCTGGGAAGACATTTTAACACAAAAATTACTCAAAACTTAAGATGCCTTTTCTTCTACTGCTAGTGCAAATCAGTATAAAAGCCGGAACAGCATCATGTCACGGCTTGAAAGAAATGTGCTGCAGTTTGTTTTGAACAAATGAGCTGGACATGCAGCAATCCAGGCTGGAAAAGGCCTAGAAGGAGGACCTCTTGCGTGCAAGGCATTTGACCGGCGCTCCATGCAGACCCCTTCTTCCTGCAAGGCTCCTCCCAAGAGGGGCCCACAGCCTCTGCACAAGACAGCAACCCCTGAAGGAGAGTGAGGAAAGAAATGGAATCTAGACATTTCCAGACGCAAGGTGGGACTGAGCAGGTGAGCTGAGTCGTGCTGCGCCCAGGCCCTGCCCCCAAGGTCCTGGAGGATGAGTGATCGTCCTCACAATGAGCTCGATCATCACAGAAGCACCCATCTGTCAGCTACAGAAGAGGACGGCGTCCCTCTACGTCCCCGAATACAACCATTCCAGTGAACGCGTGTCTCCAGGGGCAGAACAGCAACAGGTCTCATACGTAAAACAAAGTCAAAGACATAAGGGAAAGTACCTCGATGCAACCGTTTTCTTCTGTTTTTCCATAGCAGGATCCACCCAGGCTACCAGCACAGAGTGAGACGATATAACACGGACAGCGATGTCCTCAGGTATGTCCAGTTCATCCTCCTCTGAAATGACAATGAGAGGCATGGAGGTGGCCCAGGCAACAGGCTCTGCCTGGACCTCCTCTGGCTGCCAGAATTTATTACTCACCCTGAATGAGGCTCAAGTGGCTTACACTCTGAGTAGGATAAACTGAAATGAATGGGAGGTTAAGTGATTCTCTGATTGGTCAACAGAGAAATATACAAACCTCCACTCTTCTCCTCTCAGCCACCATCTAAGCAACAGGCAGCTCACTTTAGAAGCTGTTCAACCCAGCTGCCAGGAAAAAAGTGCAAAACCAGGTGCTTTGCCTTAGTCAAAGGTGCTGCAAGAAATCAGTGTTTTCTCAATCTATCCTGTGAGTTTGGGGAAATTTGGGGAAGTAATCCCATTTTTTACAGGAAACAAAAATTTAAAGAGGTTCAAGTCAGGATATTTCCATGAGAATCATGGCATGAAAGGTGAATTCTGGTTCAAACAAATCATACTGAGCCCAGTGTCCACATAATTTAAAATATGAGATTCCATGAAATTGAAACTCATAATCAAATACAGAATAGAATTCAATTTGCATTTACAGTAGAATATGTCATCATCATGAAGCTTGGTTTTTATTCAATTTCCAATATAAATTGAGACTCAAAAAATATCTTTGCTTATTAATTAGTCCCTTGTTTTTGTTTTTGCTTGCTTTGTTTTTTTCTTTTCATTTCGCAAGGACCATGTTCAAAAGAATGTGGTTTTTACTACAAGGAAAGGAAAGTGGACATATATAACCTGTTGAAAAAGTGATAGAAACTTAAATAAGCACGGTTGATGTGTAATAAATTCATGTAGACAGGACATCTATTATACAATGCAAACTCCATGATTATAAATGTAAGTCTATAATATGTAGTAATAAAACATATTATAGCCTATAAAGTTATAATTCATGAATAATTTGTGAGTTCATGAAAACAATTAAGTTGTAGTTGCCTCTCTTTAAATGAAAGCCCATGATCTAGAAAAGATATGTGTGATTTGTTAATACATGAGTAAAATAAAGAATACTTGTGAATGGTTATGGGAAAAGCATCCCTCAGTGAGTGACCAGCAACCAAGGTACAACTTTTGTCACTCTTCTAAATTTTATTCAGTGTTTGTTGAAATAAAGTCTAAGGGCATGTCTTGCCTGCTGCCCCTGCCACACCTACTCTTCTTCCTCTGTTCACAGGTAACCTACAGGAGGCTCGGCCTGTGCCTTTCAGTGGAGCGCAGCTTGGCTGTATCCACCGGGACAAATCTACATGCCTAAAGCTATGCAAAGCACATAGAGGGATATATTTCACCAGCGCAGTGCTCCAGCCTCTGAGCCCTGCTGCCTCCTGTATAGTCAACAAAATCTGCGCACTGTGGCACCCCCGGCCAGCAGCATTTGGAAACAGCACTGAATCCACCCTGGGTGGCAGTTCCACCCACTGCATCCCCAGGAAAGTACCTGAAATCTTCCGTTTCGTGAGGGCAGCCCTGTAGACAGGCTGGCTCTTCCCTTGGGAGTTCATGGACTGCAGAGAGACCACGTACACCGACTCCGAGGCTGTGGACCAAAGGCAGGGGATGAGGAGCTGAGCCGGTTTCCCAGCACACACCCCTGCTCTCTGTACCCCCTCCTCTGCCCTCTGTCCCATCTCATCTCTCGGGTGGCATGCCTACTTCTCCAGGACGACTAATGAGGAGGCAAGAACCACAGGGACTAAACTCCAGAGAGCATTGCGATGCTGGAAAATGTGGGTGAGTTTTAACTAGAATTCCTGAAACGTGGGATGACCTACATCATCATCAACATCAAAGAAGGATGAGCAATATTTTAAAAGTAAAGGTTGTAATATACCCTCATAATTCCTTCAATTTCTTTTTACTCCCAAAATAGAGGAGAGGAGGGAAAAAAAGGGAGAACAGACCAGAACCCCAAGGGGTGTGTGGCTCTTTGGAACCTGATTCCTCAGAATGTAGACTGAAGATTTGCTAAGAGCAAAGGGAAGAGTTTAAATGCAAAATTTTGCTTCTGGATTGTTCTTTCAGCTACACACCCCCCCCCTTGTATATTGGACCCACTAATATCCAACTTAATCTGAACTTGATAATTATATTTGGAAAAAAATTACAATTGTGAAACAAAGCATACAACTCTCAAGAATTATGGAATCATGGCACCCGAGACCATGAGGAGACTTTGGTCATCTTCTAGACCTTCTTAGTTTATAAATAAGAACATAAAGCCTTAAAAATTGATTGACTTGTGCCTCCCTAGTGGCACAGCACAGCACTGTAAAGCTGTCCACAGCCTCTGCAGCACGAGTTCGAGCCCTGGCCAGCCAGGGAGCTACTACCCACATGGTGCAGCAGACCTCTCCTGTCTCGCCTGCTGCTCCCCTCAGCAATGTGTTTCAGTCAGTCTGCCTGTTCTGTTCCCCGCTCTGTCTCTGGTGAATCCTCTCACCCTCACACCTCTGGCCTATACCCCAGTTCTTTTATGCATAAATAAATAAATCTTTAAGAGAAATTGATTGACATGCCCAAGGTCACACCCTTAATAAGGATGCAGAATCTTCCCTGTATCCAAGGTTGTAATGCCACTTCCAGGCTCCATGGATTGAGTTTCCTGTAGCAGCTGAAAGGCAGCCCTGTCCTACTGCTAACTGAAGGTGGAAGGATGGAGATACAAGAAGAGGAAAGAACAAAGACTAACTTTGAAAATGAGCGTTACAGCTACACCATGTCTATACAGCAATGCAACATTATGTGTAATGGACATTATACATGCATTAAAACATTATGTATAAAGCACATCTTTGTAATAAGCATGGCAAGCATGTGATGCTCTCTCATGACAAGCATCTAACGATTGCAAAGATCAGCAAAACATTAAACGCCCCCGAACAGTAAGCTCACCCAGCTTTTTAATTTCATGTGTTCGCTCATCTTTTGACAGTGGAACATAATTCATCTTCCGGCCACTCTCCCCGTAGCCCAGAAGAAATCCCCGTGATCTGCGTGGACTCTTGGCTCCAGACAGGCGTGGCGCCTTCCACGCCACGGACAGCCGGTCGTCTGAGGATCGGACACGCACACGCAGGGGCTTGTTGGGCACATCCTTTTCTTAAAGAGGACACAACATGGAAAGTGTCACACCGTCATGTCTATAGAGTCTGTTCAAATACTGAGCCACGACCATTAGCAAGCGGTCTTACCACATCCATTCTGGCAACCCATCTAGTAAGAACATTCTTCCCCGCGGGGATAGACACCCTGGCACACGGCCCTCCCCGCGGCTCAGACCAAGAGGTCTTGAGAACTTAAACTGAAAACCTATTGCGTGGGAGAATGCCATCCAGAAATCTGGAGTAGTTTCCAGTGTTCTTTTTTATTTATTTTCCTTTGCCCCCTGATCAAAACGACATGTATTCCCTGGGGAAAGGCCAGCATGCATGACAGCAAGCACACATATGTCTGTTGGCAACTGCCCTTCAGGGAGCCTTCACTATAAGGTTGAAGAAACAGCTTTTCTAGAATTGAATATGAACTAGTAAGAGTAAACACTCATTTCTGTTTTGATCTTAGTTTTTCTTACAGGCCTAAGTCTTGCCCCGCTGCTAACCTCAATGTCTGTTGTCTCATTGTTAATTCAATGATGTTTGCAAACCCTCTTGCTAAGCTAATCAATTGCAAAATGATGATGTCATTACCCATTTCTGAAAGTGGATCCTATTCTAGCCGGGATTTGGGGAGGCCGTCAGGCCAGTGAGCGGCTCCCTTGTTGAGTAAGCCATCACTTCCCAGGCACCCTCCTCTACATACACCTTCGCCAGGTCACCTACTCTGGCTAACTTTATTAGACAGGAACAGTCCCAGCTACTCTAACATTTCATTGCTAAGACGCAAAAGCAAAGACTAACGTCATCTGTTAGTGTGGGTTTCAGTAACACAATAAATAGCCATTGGTGGTGGTTATTCTGAAAAGTCAGATCCTTGACACCAATGTTCTGAATCTAACCAAAAGGAATATCCATTTGCACATTCGGTGGAGTTACGTCATTAGTCACTGAGTAACCCCATTCCTAAAGACTACTGAGGAAAGACTACTACTAATGCCATGTTATGGTTGAGCAAATATTTTCCTCCATACACAATGTAGCAATTAATAAGAATTTTTGTTTTTAACCCGACAGTGTGGCCAGTGGGCTGACCATATGCAACTCCGCCTTGCCACCTGGTGATGTGACGACTTCCCTGGGATTCCTCTGCAAAACTGACCTCAGCTTTGACCCAAGTTGAGAGGTGCGCTTTCAATTTCAAAGCTGACCTCTATAAAAATCAGGGAGCACAGAGGATTATGGAAATGACAGATGTGTTTATTTACACAGCTGAAAAGAAAACAATTTATCCAAAGTTTTCAGAACTAATAATCCTACTCATTACAGCACAGCATGGATTAATCTGACGAATCCCTGTATGAGTCCTGTGAATTGATTAGACCTATGACTTCCATCATAATCCTGTGAGCTGATTGCTTAGCACTCCCCATTTGGGATCTCTTGCTTCATACTTATAGCCACACGATCTTGATGTTTCTAGAACAATCCATGTGATCAAATCTTATGATATATTGGAATTACCCATGGGTGATAGTCACGGAGTAGTCAGGAATCAGTAGGTGTTACTGTAGAACTGACCCTCTGTGGTGCCAGGGTAAGAACGATTCCTTCTAAATACTGGGGGAATGTCTTGTGAAAGGACTTATGAAGAGCAAAACCTGGTCAAGGAACAGAAGTTGCATTTAACAACAATGACATTTTGATTTTTTGGTATTTTAAAGGTAGCAAATTTTTGGAGGCCATTCACCAGAACAAAATATGTAAACATATTTAATTTTTCAGGAATCATGCTTGTGTCATTTTCAGATTGATACAAAGTTAGGAAATAAACCTTACGTGAGCCATGAATGTGGGAATAGAGACCTAGAAAGAATTTTAAAGGGAGCAAAAGACTCCCTCGTTCTCTCCTAATATCTAAGTCCCTTATTCCCATGTGCCTCCAACACAAACAACCGCCACACAGGAGTTCAGACTGACTGGAGCGCGATTTCAGGGGGTCCCCAACTTGGGCTGAGGGCCAGGGATATGTTAAAAAAAAAAAAGTCTAGAAGGGGAAAATGCCTTCTGTAAACAACATGCTTTTCTTATTTTTATGATAATCTCAGAATCTCCTAAAGGAACCTCTCAGTGATGTGGGTTTGGAAGGAAGGCCGAAGCCACCACAGGCCATTTGCACTGCTTGTCTTTCAGTGTGACCACCGAGGCCACACACTGACAGCCTGTTTCCAAGGGGCAGCATGTACAGGACAGATGCCCACAGCACTGTGGTCACCCTGACTGGCCTCAGAGCTGCCTCCAGATTCCTGTTCTAAAACCCCATGTGGCAGCAACAGCCTCCCCTCCATCACAGGGTGAAGTACCGTCTGGGAGGCCTGGGGCAACCTCCAGCAAATGGGAAAATCGACTGAAAACACATGAGTCATCAGGCAGAGCTGGTGTTCTCTGCCCTGTGGTCCGCCTGCCCCCCACAGACCACCCTGGGAAGTGGTCCCGGACAGGACATCAGTACCGCAGGGCCTCAGGAGTGTGGCCGGACAAACAACCCCTGGCACCCAACAGTAAAAGACTGAGAAACAGTAATAAGAACAAAGACAGATGGGGTTTCCTACAGTGCTAGGTCCGGGGGATGAAGGGTAAGGTTCAAGGACAGGGACCTTGGGATCTGCAGTGCCGCCACGCACGACCCTGCCCCATGCCAGGCCCACTGAGCCTCAGCCTGGGTATCTCATGCTCCACGCCAGGGGTGGAGAATGAGGCCTGGCTGTGAACAAGCTGCAGGAATGGGCAGAGGGCACCTTTTAGCCCGCTCGCCATGTTGCCTCCTTTGTGTGCAGCTTTCCAGTGTGCCACAAGCCCTGACGTGGCTGATCGTCTTCATTCTTATAGTAGCTCCCAGGTAAACAGGAGAGAGTTATCCCCCTGAGAAAAATGAGGCTGGACAGGTGAAGTGACTGACCCAAGGTCACACAGCTGCTGAGTGCCACAGAAGGACCCGAATGCAACCATTCCAATGCGAAGTTCCATTCTCCCCCAACGGCACCCCTTCCTTTTATGCTCTCCCCTCACCCGTGTGCCAGCCACTAAACTCTTCTGCTAATAAACGTGAAGTAAAGGTTCTGAGCTGGACAGGTCTCCCTCAGAGGGAGAGCACAACGCCCCCACCCTAAGCGTGTGAGAGCGCGCACGTGTGTGTGTGTGTGTGTGAGAGAGAGTGCACGCGCATGTCTGCTAATAAATCAGCAGGTAGCAAATGAATGAGAGAAGGCCTCTTGCCAAAGACTGTCCTGAAGGGCTGTTGCCTGCAGCACAGAGATCACTGAACCCTGAATACAGGGATGAAGAGGAACCCCATCCCTCCAAGCATGGCCCTGCAGATTGCAGATCTTTGGGTTTAGATAAATCATCCACATAATATTTTTTCAGGTATTTGAAAATATCATTTCTTTAATATTCTGGCTTACATGTATGGTTGAACATCTTTTACTGATTCTTTCACAGGTCATGTGGCAATCCTCTTTAAGCTGATGTGCATATTAAGAAAAAAGATCCATATGGTTCAAATTCTCTTGCAATAATGTTACTTAAGTGTTTTCTCTAAGCCATATGTGATAGCTTCACAGAAGCCTTCTGAAATGTTCTTATAAAACTCTGTCTTTTATCTTGAAAACAGGAAGTCACAATTGCCAAGGGCAATCAAGCTCACCCCCTCCTGCTGAGTGTATTTAACCTTGGCAGGAGGCAGCAACGACCCTGCATCACTTTGGTACCACATGATCAGGCGGCTCTTACACAGAACTGATCGGTAACGGAAGGCCTGTGGCGATAATTGCACACTGTCCACACAGAGGGCCAGCTGGGAGAAGCAAGGACCCTCTAGATCACAGCTGACATCAAAGAGCCAGGCAGGATTAGAACATCCCTCCCGATTTGTATCGCCAGCAATGTAAATCGACAAATATTCTGAAATTCTATGGAATCAAAACCTGTTCTTTTCACAAAGGAAAAAAATTCAAAATTCAACTTGATGCTTTGCTCATTTACATCTTCAGGACTAGTTAAACCCGGCAGCTTCTGATGTGGGCTCCCACAGGCTCTGAGGTCAGAGTGAAGGGGAATCTGTCACTCACTGGTCATAATGTCGGGGCTGTCCTATAACAATAAGACTGAGAATTTTCACTCACCCTCAGTTTCTTCCTCTGGGCTAGGGTGCGAGCAAGCCTGGTACTGTAAGACAACCCGCAGAAGGCATTTAGGGAGGTGCCTGGCATGTATTAAGCCCCATTCATGTCTGCTTGTCATAAAAATGAAAGCCCTCAGTTTATCAGCCTCACTGGCAGGGTAGGTGGCCCCTCCAAAATGTCAGGACCCCATCACAGAGCCCTCCATGATGGCTTGCACACAGGGGCACTTAAAATTTTGTTTCAAAATACCAGAATTCAGCGAAAGAGCAGGAATTATTAACAAAGACTCTTTAATTGAAAACCTCCTCAAATTTGAGATTGCGTGTTTCTAGTTGACTTTTTTGCACCATAAACTAAAAGCAATCGTCATTGTCTTCATCAACATCTAATGATCATCATTTGCTCTGAACAAGTCCCCACTCTTTGTGGGTGTACAATACACGCCTCTGCTGCCAGGTGACCACTTTCCTTGGCCACATCTCAGTCACCAAGGCATTTTCGCTTTACAGCAAAACATCAAGTGTCACTCTGCCTACAGGTTTGCAGAGTACGTGATTTGTCCCTCCGACCACTGGATGCCCCACTGCCAGACCGCCAAGCTTCGTAGATGGCCTGTGGTCTCTCCCCTGTGGCTTGAAAGAGCCACTGGTCTTCTACTGGCCATCCGTTGCCCAGGCAGCTCCCCTGCCGTCCCTAAGAACCAGATCTCAAAGGAACTGGGGACACTGGTCTTAGGCAGAAGGGACGCCAGCCCATGAGGCTACAGCAGTGGTCTAGCTCTGCATGATCACCTGCAAGGTGAAAACCGCCTTAGCTCTCACCT